TCAAAATTCAAAATCAAAATTCAAAATCAAAATTCAAAATCAAAATCAAAATTCAAAATCAAAATTCAAAATCAAAATTCAAAATTCAAAATCAAAATTCAAAATCAAAATTCAAAATCAAAATTCAAAATTCAAAATTCAAAATTCAAAATTCAAAATTCAAAATCAAAATTCAAAATATGAAATCAAAATCAAAACGAGGGAAAAACTTTATACTGTAAGAGATTTTGCAGCTTGCGAGCGCTCAGCAGGGGCGAATCAGTTGATCGATTTAGATCTAACTTTCCGCAACGCGCAAGAAGAAAATCGAATTACCACAAGTGGAGGAACAAACATACTAGTTACAGACGCAGGCAGGAGAAGATGGCACGCCTACGAAGTGACAACATAAGCTCCTCACCACTAACGTTAACAACAATGTTTTAAAGACTAGAACGTTGAACTTGAATAATGATCAACGGACAACGGATACAGAAAAGTAGAACGAGAACGTCAACACCTCCAGAGAACATCACAGTAGGACAAAGCTATCTAAAGGCATAGATATGTCGACATCGTTGTCGTCAATTTCTCAACAACATGAAGTTGCAAACATCAACAACCAGAAGGACTAACAGGGTCTACGCCTAGTACAACATAGGTTAAACCGACTCCGTCTGCGAATGCGCGGCCACTGCAGCTTCATTGTTTAAAGCTTGGTCGTTTTCGCAGCATCAGAGGGGGTGATGCAGTCCTTGAAGAGAGAGACAACGCTGAGCGCATTCATACGCATATTTTTTATTAGTTCTTGAGGCGCTCCACCGGTTCAGGTTCTTTACCTCTAGGTGTAGTCTTCACTCATTTCAAGCACTGTTCTCTCCGCTTCATCAAAGCTTATTAGTTCTTGATACCAGTGGTCTGTCGAAAAACTTGTCGATGAAGTCGAGTTTCTTTGTCTCGAGATTTTTCGGTCGAACAAGCATACAAATACGTCTTTGCTAAGCTGCGTTGCGGTTGCCATGCACATGCAGTCTGTTGTCGTCGGTCCCTCGTGAAAGACTATTTGTTATGAAGTCCGAGTTTCAGGAATAAATCAAATATCGAAATCGATGTCTTTCAAGATTAACATTTGTAATCGTACTTACCTTCTCATTCTCTTTACCTACTTTTAATTTTATTTTCGTCGGTCAATCAATCGACGCTGTTCACAACATCAACAACCAGGAATGCCAAACACAAAAAAACGCTAGCAAGGACTTCAGTAGGCATTGGTTTTCCTTTAAATGTGAGCAAAATTATTATGACTTACTCCGGTCACTCGCGGCTCGGGCCCGAGCCGCAGTTCAGAGCGGAGACGGAGTTCCGAGGAAGATCTGCGTAAAGAGAAGATTGTCATCCTGCTAACAGCTGCACTCCGCGATCGGAACAAGACAACAGAAAAATAAACCGGTTCCCCCTATTACTTCTTCAGAAGCAAAAATCAATCCACAAAATGCCGCCTCCAGGCAGCCAAGGATTGATGATGATGGAGTCGAACCCACAGGATGGGATGCAGGTTGGCGGCAGCAGCTCTTCGAAGTCAAGAGGAGCTGCTAACCAAGATGCAGAACATGCGGGAGGGTCGTCTTCTTCAACATTATGCTGATGAAATGTACGTAAGTAAGTGTTGTAAGTACTTACACTTGTTCTACTTGGTATAAGTAAAATGGAATAAGATATACTAGTTCACTTTACTCGACTTAAGCGCCGGAGAGCTCGCCCTCCACTAGAAAAATCCTCCACCTCCTTCAAGCGCTTCCTTTCCTCCTTCAAGACGCGCCCCCTCCGTTCCTTCTCAGCCTGATCGTGATGCTCACCCGGCGGAGTGTATCAGCGGAAGAGGAGTCGGAGCAAAGGCGCCGCGGAATTGGAAAGAAGAACGCGCAGAGCCAAACACTTTTTAAATATTAGTTTTTTGGGATAAAATAAAAAATTTGGAATTTGAAATTTTGAGTTTGAAACTTTGAAATTGAAGCTTTGAATTCTAAAACTTTGAAATGGAAGCTTTCGGATTCCATGCGGGGAGCTTGAAGTCTCATGCTTAAGATTGCAAATTTTGTTTTGGACTTTAAGTCTGAGCCTTTGAGTTGCAAACATTATTTTGAATTTAGATCTGTTTTAGTTAAAATCAAAAATTTAGGTCCGTAATGCAAAATTTTTGATTTTATCGCTTACAGTTGAAATTTCACTCTATTAATTTCTTCGAATAGTTGATGCTGTACCATGTTCGTGTGTTCATGGGTTCGTGTGTTGTGTTTGTTAGTTTATTAAAATAGAGAGCGGAACAATTTTCTATGGGGGTCGCGGGTTTTTAATTCTCGTGCTTTTGGTGCAGGTGTTTCGGGTTCGAATGTTGTTGTTTTTGGTGCAAGTGTTTTTGGTTCCAGTGTGTTTGGTTTTGAGGTTTGAGGGGAAATTGTTGAGATTAAATTTAGCTCTTCAATATTGTTGTTCTTGATGCTAGCAGCTATTGCTACTATAAGTTTTTCGTCGCCCCCCACCTCCTCCTTGCTTCCCTCTCCTTCATACCTGTCCTACGTCGTCGGCATGCGGAAGATGACGCCATCCGAGATCATTTCGAAGCATCAGAATAAGAATCTGGGCAGATACAACATGTACAATGCTGATAGCGAGCCGGTGAAAATAGTCCAATTTCTCAACATCGGACTCTACACGCACAACGAGCGTTCACGGGTACCAATAGGAGAGCCTTTATTCAGGCCAAATCCACCTGTAGTAGAGTTTTTCGAGTATAGGGCTTTGCGGACGTATGAAACGCAGTTGTATCTGAGAAATCAGGATGATGTGGCGAGAAGATGTAAAGTCTTTCCTCCAGATAGTGGCTACTTCGAAGTCATACCATCGAAAAAGAATAGGGACAAAGTCGCAGCTGGAATGGAGATCTGCTACACTATCCGATTCAAACCGGACTCGATTATGGCGCAACATTTTGATGATTATAGTCCCTACACTATAAATTACAGTTAGTAGTTGTTTTCGACCACATACTTACTATTAAATAGAGACAGAAGATGAAAATAAACCCGCACAAGGAAGATTTTTAGAAGGTCCACCAGTCTAAGTAGTGGACTCGACCTGACCCCTCTCTAACGGAAGGCAAGACTACAGTTACGACCTGCAGGTTGTCACTGAGCGGGAGAAGTTCATCGTGCCGATAAGGGCGATCGGATACCATGCTCTGCTGGACTTTCCGGATCTGGTGGACTTCGGATCGGACTGCCCAGTACGAATGGAGAGCGTGAAAACCATACTCATGCGGAATGTGGGGGAGAAAGCAACTAGGTTTTGCTTTCAAGTTGCAGCCCCCTTTAGCGTCAGCATACAAGACGGATATTTGGATCCGGATTCGACATTGCAAGTCCAGATATTCTTCAAGTACTTGTTGTTTGACTATTTGTTGCTAGTAGTTGATCACCGTGCGTGACAGCTGCAGCTGCACTCTCTTTTCAAATGTTTTGTTTGATGTTGATCAACAATGCATTTTATTTGTCAAAAGAGTAAGTAAGAGTGACTAGATGTTGTACCGCATGAGTAGAGAGTAGGAGAGTTTACGACCCTCTTCTACTGGGCTGGCGAATGATAGTTCTTACCAGATGAAAATTTTGGATGCTGATCGATCACAACAATCATATCAGTTGTATGCTAATGCTCCTCTTTATCTTCTCTCCATTCTCGCTCCACCAGACCCGACCGTACCGACACCGAGTACGAGCGGGAGTTGATTCTGACTTACGGCGATAGCACCCCTATGGTCGCACATGTGAAGCTCAAAGGCTCTGCTGCTGAACTCGACATTCAATTTGAGACTAGAAACGTGCAGATGCCTGACACCTATATCGCGCTGATGTCTCAGGCAACCGTAGACATCACCAACAATAGTGACCATCCAGTAGACTTCAGTTGGCGCGCATTCGGCAATGCAGAGGACGAAATCCAACAAAAGCTGAAATTAGGCGTGCAGTTGAAGGAGGAAGAGACAGAGGAGCAGTTGTTCGTAGAACAGATGGCATTGGAGATGGCCATGCCGGTATTAAAATTAGTTCGTACAAGAACACGGAAGAGGAAGTACAAGTACTCGAAAACTGAAAATAACCGAGTTACTGACTGAAATAAGGGAGGTAGCTTTGACAGGGCTGCTACTCCTTGTTCAGCATCTCGCCTATGTTTAGTAGTTACTCGCTTATTTCAGTTTTTCGAGGAATAGTCAGTGTGACACACTTCACATGATTGTTGGAGGTAACGGTATTCCTCCAAAACACTAGGAAGATACAACAAGAACAAGAACTTGCCAAGGATGTATGATCAGCATCCCCTAATAAGACATCAAATATTTGTCAAGGTTAACATAATTACTTCTACCACGTCTACTTGTACTTACTTCTTTTATAACGTCAACTACATCATTTTCAGGATCCCGAGGACGGCGACGATGGTGACGATCAGGCGACTCAGCAACGTAGTGCGGCTCAGCTTGCTGCTTTGAAGAGAAAGTATGCCAACATCGCTAAGGCCGTCTTAGACGATCCGATGTATTTCTACGACACCATTTTTTCTATGGAGCCTCTGTCGGGACGAATTTGGGCGAAATCAAGGGTCACTGTGACCATTTCCTTCTCTCCGAAGAGCGCTCTGCACTACCACTGCTTGGCCTACTGCTCTATTGCAGGGCAGCAAGAACGGATTCCGATAAAGCTGACCGGGCATGGGATTGGACCGAAGGCGGCTTTTTTTATGGCTTAGTTTGATCAAGAGAATAAGATCATGGTAGCTCCTGCACCAAGAAATGAGAGATTCAAAGAGATCGTGTGGGGCTCTAGGTCGTCTTTAAGAGCAGCTACTAGTCTGCACAGAGTAAAAAATAGAGACACAGCATTCCGATCATTTTACCAGTTGTACGTACTACTAGAACTAGGAGATGTTGACTAGTACGAGACATCTTCTAATAGCTCCTTCGACGAGATGGATGTTGGCGATATTTTTGTCGAAAGCATGCATAGGTACGAAGTCGACATCGTGAATCAAGGAGACATTGCGGTCAACTACGAATTGATGCCGAACACGTCTCCTTTTGGCAGTAAATTTAGCTTCACGCCAGCGAGTGGGAGGCTAGAGGTTGATGGACAAGAGACACTGCAAATCGATTTTTGTCCGAACATATTGGGCGAATTCCACGAAACCTTCATGTGGGAGTTATCGTCGAACAATAAGAGCGCTTGTGCGATTCCGATCTCTTTCAAGGGGAATAGCGTTTGCCCTACTTTCCATTTTGACGTTGACAAGATCAATTTCGGCACGGTCTCTTTCGGTTTCTTAAACTGCAAGACCATCACACTGAGCAACGACAGCGAAGTCACAATGCGCTACGTGTTGCGGATCCCAGGCGACGGACGATTCTTGCAGAAGGAATTCGACGTCATTCCATCCAAAGGCGTGCTCTTGCCGAATTGCTCGCAGAAGATCCAGATAGATTTCATTTCGGCACAAGCGAATCCCAACAAGAGCTACGACTTAGCCCTGGTGGTGGATCTGGATGGGGTTGGGCAAGAGCTAGGGTCTGTCCCCATCACGGCGAAATGCGCAGTGCCAACAGTGGTGTTCGAACCCTACGAAGCGATCTCGTTTGGCGAAGTTTTTATCAGGTAGACAGCTTTTTTTAGATTTAGTGGAACAAATATTAGATATGAAGCGAAAAAGTGCACTCACACTCAAGGAATCGGCTATGATTTCTGTAGGAAAATAGCCACTTTTTTTGAGTGTGAGTGCACTTTTTTCTTTCATATTAGATGTTTCGATTTTATTGGTGCATACACCTCCACCTGCCGCTGGTCATGAACATTCATTTTCTTCATGTTATGAACTAATAAACGTGGTTTGATGAAGTAAGTAGAACACAACTAACACTTCTAAGTAAGCAGAAAAATTTATTGCATTGATTACCAGTATAATTTACAACTTCCAGGGCTGGACGATTCCCAGGATACAACTTCACCATATCTCAAGGTACGCCTTCTGCCAATGCCTGGTGATGCACAACACGAGCTCGTTGCCTGCAAAGTTTCAAATCCTGCCACAAGACGAGCAATCTAAGCAAATAGCAGAATTTGAACCGGATCAGACTCAAGGAAATGTCCCTCCAGCAAGCAGCCACGTAATCACAATCACACTCACGGCGAAGAAAATACCGAAGGAATGTGGTACTTTGTGGTCTACTGTTGAAGGAGTACAAGTAGAACTAATGGAAACTGCTTCCACCTTCATCAAGTAATATTTACTTATAAATATGTCCAAGGAGGAACCATCTTCTACATCTGATGAGTATAATGTGGTCGTGTTCAAATGTTCCTTCGTGTTTGCGTCCCTACTGAGTAGTTGTACTTGTTGACGCTCTTATCCTTGTGTCCCAAGCCCAACAAGAGCCAACTTCTCCACAGCTTCCGGCCAGCCGATGTCGATCCCTATGTACGTGAAGATTCTCGGTCAACCGGTACCCTATCCTTTTCAACTTACCGCAATCCCAATCGGACCCCGCGTCGAAGTCGAGTGCAATAAACTCGACTGGGGTAACACGAAGTGCCTTACACCAGTAACGAAAACTCTGAAAGTGACGAACAACTCCGTCATTGATGCGGCTGTTCGGTGCTTTTTGAAGAGCAGAAACAGTCTCTGGAGCGTGAAGCCGAAGAAGCTGCACTTGGCTCCAAACGAGGTGGCATACTTGCATTTGACGCTGGTTTGCGACGAAAAGCAGGCTCTCAGTGACATTCTGCATCTAGTGGTGCACGAAAGCAACGACATCATGGTCAACGTGAAAGCGAAGGGAACTGGCACGCCAATCACGAGTCAGGAAGACATCTCGAAACTAGACTTAAGGCTCACAACAATCATTCATCTTAAGGAGCATCTTTTTTGTTCCCCTTTTGCTTAAGGGAAGCAGGAGAACACGCCAAAGATGCCCTTAAAGATGAATTATATATGTGAGGTCTAATAGACTTCGGAACGGTTTACGCCACACAAACGCACACACGTGACATTTTCGTCGAGAATAGAGGGAAGAAAGCCAGAAGATTAGTCTGGTCTAGTGAGAAGATGGACGCTTTGCAGAAATTCTTGTCGAAGAAAACCGAAGACGAAGACGGCAAGAGTAAGCGAGCGTATGAGCTGAAATTACAGGAGTTGACCCCGGTTTTTAGCGTTACGCCAGACACTGTAACTCTCGACGGCAAGAGCATGTACCGCTTCACGTTCACAGCCATGAGCGCGCGACCAGGGAGCGTAAGCGAAGTTTTGACCTGTACCGAATTCGTCGGAGCTAACGATCGCAAAGGGCAAGTCGTGCTCACCTGCGAACTGCGTGGCGAATTCATTGCGCCACTGCTGCAGTTGTCTGCGCAGGCATTGGAGTACAAGTTCGAGTGGAGCCAGGAACACGGCTATTCGAAGTTCAAGGCCTTGACGCACCCTCTTGCGTTCACGAACGTGTCGCCGCTAGATGTCAAGTTCCACATCAAGTGTCCGTACCCGTTTTCGATCGACAAGATGAACCTGACCTTGGTTCCAGGGGAGAAGCACACGTGCACAGTCGCCTTCGATCCGAATTACATGGCGATCGACAAGCTTTGTGATGTGAACAAGCAGAAACTGACGATCACCTACATTATGGGTCGTGTGGTCGGGAATTCATCTCCACCAAACAAGTTGTCATCTGGATGAAGAGAAAGACAAGAGGAGAATATTAAGGGGACCTAGATGAAGATGATCCCTGACGAGATGAAAAATTCCCGACCACACGACCTCTAACTACAGCGACCATCCGCAGAAAGACAGTGTGGATCTCGTTGGAGAAGTCGTTTTCCCGAATCTAGTTTTCGACGCGTTTGCAACGGATTTTGGCGCAATTCTGAACATGACCAGCAAAACGCAGAGCATCCGGGTCTCCAACCCCTATCCGTTGCCAGTAAACTTCGAGTTTGCTCTAGTTGACGAAGACACGGTGAAATGCGACATGGACGGAAAATTGGTTGAGGTGCCGATGGGCCAGGTCTTCGACGTTTTGCCTATTGGAGGCACGATTGACTCCGGCTCGTCAGTCGACGTTCAGTTTACCTATTTCGGCTTGGGCAACCGCAAAATCGAGACGCACTTCGTCTGCCTGTGTGATGGTGGTCCGGATTACACAGTGGCGTGCAGTGGAATCGCGTCCGATGTCGAATATCGGCTAGATAAGATCGGTGGCGTCCAGGATGGCATGAGCGTTGGAGACGTGCTATTCAACCAGACGATTGAACGAGATCTCTGCATCCGAAATATGGGTAAAGTCCCCTTCTACTACTCAGTTGACATGACAACACTGAAGCGGCCACTTTGCGTTGACGTTTTCCCGCAAACGGGATTAATTCAGCCAGAAGACAAGACGTTTTTGAAGATTCGGTTTTGTCCGGGCATCCCGGATTGGGTAGAGGAGCATGTTTTGATCTCAGTCGCCCACTACGAGCCGATTAAATTCACGATCAACGGACGAGGTATCTTCCCGAACTTGGTGTTCGAACTCGAACGTGCAGAGAGAGCTGCTCATTTGCTCAAAATCGAAGAAGCACGAGTTGTGGTGCAAAAAAGGATGGAGGAGTTGGGAGCGTCTAGCAGTCCGGAAGAAGACATGAACCACGAAGGCAGTAGAATGAAGAAGAAGTCGAAGAAAGCAAGCGACAAGGGAAGCGGAACTGGAGATCCTTCGAGGTACTTATATTTGACCTCTACTTCGTTGCTTGGTATTAGTTCTGATTTCAACTTCAAGATCAAGTTGTACTTAAACATAGACTTCTACATCATGCATGATATCACGCGAATTCACTGCCTTGTTTTATATTGAGCCTCTGTTTGTCGTCTCTCTACTACATCACGTCGAACGAAATCAACCTTGTTGGTTCATCCCAAATTTTTCCAGTGACCAAACGCGTCCTCCGTCTGCGAGCAGCAAGTCATCGGCTAAGAAGAGTACCAAGCGTGAGACCGTTTCCAACGGCACTCCACGATCCGGCACTGTGACCGCTGTCGAAGTGAAGAACCACAAGAGTTTGATGCTCATGCTCGAGTCAGAGGTCGACCGAACGCACTTGTCGGAGATCCTATTGCAGCAGGAGGAAGAGCTATTCCTCGCCCAACGTGCGGATCCTAGTAAGATGAAGCCAACAACTTCTAGTAAAAAGAAGGGCAAGAAGAAAGATCCGGGAGTCGTTGCAGCGTCGTACGTCTGCGACTTCGGATACATCGTTCTGGGCCACAGCAAGAAGAAGAACATCGTGATCCACAACTGCTACCATGACACAGTACAGTTTGAGATCAAGAAAAAGGAACTCGACGCATACGGCTTTGCCATCGAGCCGCAGAACGCGAAGAAGATTCCGTCTCATGACAAAATCACGCTGACCTGCGAGGCTTACAGTAGTTCATTAAGGGTAGGTTAAAGGTGCTTTTCTTACCGCTTTTTATGCCTCTCATAAGGGAGAAAGGCATAACAAGCGGGGTAAGCGAGCACCAAAAACCTACCTCTAAGTTCACCTGAAGAAGAAGCTGCGGCGGCAAAGGCGAAGGGCAAAGACGGCGGCGACCCACTTGTCCAAGGAGAAGGCCCAGTCAGTTTTGCGTGGAAGATTCCTGTCAAGAACGGTCCACAGTATGAGGTTCATTTGAAAGCGTTCTTCGTGCTTCCGGAGATCGTCGTTTCTAGCGAAAACATCGATTTCGGACGTGTCTTAGTAGGCCAGAAAAAGATCGTCACCATCTCGATCAAGAACAAGAAGCCAGTGCCGATCGAGTGGAGCTGGAAAACGCCGAAAGCGTCTGGCGGAAAACCAATGCCAAAATGGGACGTTGTCTACCAGGTAAAGCCAGATCATGGCACGCTTGCGCCAGACGAGATTCAATGGGTCGAAGTCGCTTTTACGCCAAATAGCGCTTCTTCGTTCAAGCAAAAATTGGGTTTGAAGATTCGCGACAATCCGCACAAGAAGATGCTGACTTGTTCCGGACACGGAGATGTGCTCAACTTGAAGGTGGACAAGAACCACATCGAACTTGCGCCGTGCCTCCCGTACTACGATCGCGCTTTGCAGGGGTTGTACCTTGAGAATCCGACCGATTATCCGATCACGGTCTACTCCGCTGATTTCGATCAGCAGTACCGCATGGAGGAGCAGAAACTAGACGCCTATAGGGAGCACGACTCTCTGTATAAGTACTGTGAATTTCCAGTTAGAGAAGATCCTAGTACAACGTGGCCAGACGTGGAGGATACCTGGGACCAACTGCAGAGAGCCAAGGAGTGGGAGGAACGACGACAACTGCGCAAGGCTGAACGGGACAAGGAGTTCGCCGATAAAGTGGAGGCAACGAATGCGGGCAAGGCGGAAGGCGCCAAGGACATCACGGTAGTGGAATTGCATCGACAACTGTTACATCAGGTTCAGGACTTCTGGAAGCGCGAGTACATCGCAATTAAGGATGAGCGTGGAGAAGCTTTGCCGATGAACATCAATCCGGAGACTGGGGAGTACTCGATCGAACCAGGCAGCGTGCCTGAGATCCAACCTTGGGACGACATTCCAGATGAGATTCCCAATGAGGAAGAGCAGAATGACGTCTATCTTTGGATTTGGGAAGCAGAGGAAGAACGTTTTGTCCGAGACACAATCTGGGACCCGAAAAAGATCAAGGAAGTGGAGAGTGCGAAGCCGGAGATAAAGACTGAACTTATGGCTTGTTCTTATTATTCAAGCGCTCATGGGGCAGTTGACTAGCTACATAAAAGTCGAAAAGATTTACACTTCAACCTAGATTATGCATTATATGCTAGCATGATAGTTGCCTTTTTCTCTTTTCTATCTTCCTCTGGTCTGTCTTTTTTCTAGTTAGGTCGGCTCCACCACAATTATATGCTAGCATGATGGACGACTCCTCGTCCTGCTGGAGGTCATAGAAAAACAAAAAATCCTGGGTCTTCTAACAACCGCGACCACGAAGTCGAGGCCATGCTTGATCTCGGCCTAGAGGAGAATAAGTTTCCGAACCGCGTTCCTCAGAAATTACGCGAAAATGTCGTTATCCACGGGCCACAGCGATCGGGACGTACGAGATGGGGCAATCAGATCCATGCGAATTCACAACGTGGATTCCTGTCTATAGATGAGGCTGTGGATTGGGCCCTGTCTGGAAGCGCAAAAGGCTTGTTCAGCACAGAGTTCTTGGACAAGATTCGCGCTACTTTGACGGAGCGAGAGCAGCTATGGGAAAGCGATGCAGCCACCAAAACGGAGTATGAGGCGAAGATTCCACATAAAGATATTCTGTTAAATCGTGACATTCTGGCTGGCAGCATGGAACTAGACGGCGCTGCGCAATTTCCGACCTACGACTTGGCTCCCGAGGACGTGGTGCACATCCTGAAAAAACGACTCGCTCTGTGCGATTTCAACACCGGTTTCGTGCTCAACGGCTTCGACAAGAGCGTGAAATATCTGACACCTGAGAATTTGATCCAGACGTTGTTTTTGCTGAACGAGCGCATCCGCTTCTTCGTGATGGAGCCGTCTCGGAAGCAAACAGAGGAGGAAGAAAACCTCGATGGCATCACGGAAAGTGGCAGCAAGCTAGAGGCTGAAGGTGGAGGTTCGCCCACCGATGGAGCAGAAGAGGAAGAGGAGGATCCGGAAGTCCTTGAACAAAGGAGAATCGAAAAATACGAAGCAAATTTGCAGATGTTCTTGGATTTGCGCGTTTCCGAGATCGAGGCGGACATTGCAGCTACTATTAAGGGTTCCCACATTGCATTCCCATTCACATTCTTCACTACCATCCTTGACTTTTTTTCCAGTTGTAGGTGGAAAAGGATCGGGGACGATATTAATCTGAAGAATTATGCGATGTCGCAACCTCTAACACCAAGGAGGAAATTGAGGCGTTGACGAAGAAGGTGGCAGACTCTGCTGGAGACGAAGACATCGGGGATCAAGATGAGCTGAACGTCCTGGATCAACGTGTGGGGGCTGCGAATGCCGAGATTGAAGTCCTGAAAAAAATCAACATCAGCGCAAACCGCGAATTCGTGGATCACTACAAGAACATGCTGAAGGAGCTGATTGCTCCGATGAACGCCAAGAAGGCGGAAGAATTGAGGGCATTGGCTTTGCAGCAAGCCCAAGCGAAGCAAGGACGACGCGGGAAAACGAAGACAGCTGGTGGAGGTAACGACGGTTCTAAAAGCAACAGTCCTACCAGTCGTGCAGGCAATTCCGATGCGGAGGCTGGGCAAATCGAGTTGCAGGACTACCATCAGATCACAGACTATCCAATGCCGTACGACGCAGCGTCGAGGAGGAAGCTGCCAGAACCGCAGGATATGCTAGCAGCACCAAGAATTCCAGAGGATCCTAGGTTGCCAGAGCCAAGCTTTAGGCAGATTGTGTACGCGCCAAAACTTGGCCGCGACTTCGACATGGATGAAGCCTACAAGTTGTCGAAACACAACTTCTCTCTGTTGACGCCTATCGACAGCAAGCCGGAGGCTCTAGAACAACAGCCTGTTCCGGAGACAGATCACAACAGGAGCGGTTCCAGCGGCAGCGAAGGTGTCGAGGGACTTGGCGGAGAGGGTAAAAATGCTGTTGCGGACGGCGAGGCTGGTGGGTCGGCAGCCGAAGGCCATGAAACAAGTAAGGAAGAGAGCGCAGTAGAAGCTGCAGCTGCTGGAGAAGGGGTTGAAGACGTTATGGCTGGTGCTTTGCCTTTGGATAAAGCTATAGCTACTTCAAATAGATCCAACTACTCGAGATTCTCAATTTTACCAAAGCCTGTATCTTCAAAGACAGTCGCCTGTTTCCTCCTCTAACAACCGTGCTGAAGGCGAGCCACAGAAGACTCAAGAAGAACTTCTCGATTTGTCGCAGTGCACGAACCAAACTCGTTGGGTCATACCTCCTCAGTCTCGTGTCAAGATCTTCGTGAAGTTCTTTAGCGACAAGACGGAAACTGTAGGCTGCAGACTGCATTTCGAAGTTGTCCAAGGCTACCACTACCTGCACAACGATCCGAAACTAGTGAAAGAAAACCAGCAGCACTGCTTCAGCATCATCGACGGCAACGAAGCTTTGAGAGAAGCTGCGGAAGAGGGTGGACACGGAGCCACTTTGGCTTTAGAGGATGGCAAGAATGGCAGTCCGGCGAAGTCGGCTGGGGCAGCTGCTTCTCCGTCAAACAAGAACAAGGCAGCGGATCCAGCAGCATTCCAGATGCCGTTTCCACCTGTGTCGATTGCAAGAGCGATGGTCACGGTCGCTGGCCGCACTGCGTTCCCGCACATCAACAACAATCCAACCAACATCTTCATGCGACGAGTGCGCACGCGACCACAACCGCCGATCTACATCAGCAGGCAGTATGTCAGCAACCGCGACTTGTATGAGTTCGGTCCTTTGTTGGTGGGAAAAGACCCGGAAGTGCGACACTTCTACACCGAAGACATGCTACACTTGCCGAAAAAACTGCAATTAGGTCTAGATCGTCAGTTGGTTGAGCGGGAGCAGACTGGGTACGTCTTCTCGGCACTTGAGGGTATTTCTACGAAGAACTCAACGCGTGAGTCTTGGGGAGAACAAACGGTAGATGGCGAAGTGGCTGAAAAACGTGCGCCGTTGACGGACGAGGAGAAAATCGAACGAAAGGCGGCGATGAGATTGGAGCAGGAGAAAGACAATCAATTATTCTTCTTGAGGAAACATGTTGAGTGCTTTAGGATCACGAATAACAGTCTCTTCCCGCTTCGCGCCTTCTTCTGCTTGGCTTCGTCGCAGAAGGTGGCGGGAACGACAGCGACCGTAGCGGAAAAGCTGAAACAGGCGACAGATGCGGTCGCTGCTCGGGACGGACCAACTGTGCCCAGCGAGGCATATGATTATGGCTCTTGTTACTGAAGAGGGAACTTCTTTGCTCTAAAAAAAATTAGACTTATTCTCATATCCATGCAGTTTCCTGCCTCATGTTGAATAGAAAATCACTTCCTTCTTAATCGTCCTGTAATCCCCTACTTTCGTTGAACCCGCCCGCTTTAATCCTCAGGCCTCGTGCCAACCGTCGACACAGCCTTGCCTTTTCCGATTGGCGAGTTTGAGACGTATCCTTTCATCGTCAGCCCAGAAGTTCTTGAGTTGCAACAGGATGAGACCAAGGAGGTCACGGTCTGGTGCTTTCCTCGCACGGAGCAGACCGTCAGTGATCAGCTCGTCGTCACAGTCGATGACAATCCCGAATGCGTCGTTGTGCCACTTACTGCTACAGGAACAGTCCCGAAGTTGGAAGTTTCGAGCATGAATTTGGATTTCGACAAGTTGATGCTGCGACAGTCGGACGCGCGGGAACTGGAGCTACGAAACCCTGGCTGCGTCAATGTCTACTGGAAACTGCAAAATGTGTTTGGTACCGAGAAAGAACCCGTAGAAGGCGAGGAACCTCCGGCAGGAGAGGACTTGGAGTTCACGATTCCACCACAGTACACGATCGAGCCGAAGGAAGGCATCTTGTCTCCTGGCGCGGCTTGCAAGGTGAAAGTGGTGTTCAAAGCTACGAAGGCGAACGTGTACAACTTCAAACTGCGGTTCGCCATTCAAGACACCGAAGGTTTCTACCTGTCCGGTTTGGCGAAGACGAAGCAGGACAACCCTAAAGGCGAAGAGGAGCCGAAGATCGTGCACACGCCAGTGGAGATGGTCCCGACTGAGGTCGAGGTTTCGGGTGAATGCTTCGAGGTCGATGTCGGTGTCGAATTTCCGAACGAGCGCGGTCTCGACTTTGGTGCATTGAAAGTCGGAGAATCTAAGACAGAGCAGTTCGAAATCGTCAACCATGGCAAGTATCCATTGCGGTATGAGCTCAAGATCAAGAAGAAGTCGATCATGGAGATTCTCTCGATCAAGGACGACGTCGGTCGATCAGTCGAGATTGCGCCAGAGGAGCGTCGTGTGATTAAAGTCACAGCAGTTTCCTTCAAGCAGGTGAAGATCTCTGATGCGGCAGAACTGTTTTTGCGCATCTTCGAAGCGCGCTCGATGGAACGCGTTGAGCCGGCGATTCCGCCAATCAAGGTGAGCGTGCAAGCAGTGTACAACGGTTTCACAGTGACGCCACCTCGTGGTTTGAATTTCGGTCCTGTGCGGTCGGGAGCAGACCCGAAGACGCGCACATTTGAGATTCGCAACGATGGCGTCTTTCCATTCGAGTGGTGCTTGATGGACCTGAGTGCGATCATGAGTGATCCGAATATCCAATCTACGGTTCCGCCACCAGCTGCTAGCCCTAAAGGCGGCCGATCACCGCGCAGTCCAAAGTCGCGAGGTGCCTCACCGCGTTCACCCGGTGGAAGGCATAAGCAAGAGAAGTTCATTGATCCGAGTGTATTGGCGCGACCTCCAGCAGAGTATTTCCAGGACACGCTGCAGATCGGTCCGTTTGAGATTTCACCTGCTAAGGGAACGCTTGATCCGATTTCCGAAGACGGCGAAAAAAGTGTGACGAGGATTACGGTCAAATTTACAGCGAATGGCGACCGCGATGAAGACAAGAAACTCGCTCTGTGGGTAGACGGCGTTGAACCGAACATGCCGGATCAGATTCGAGTTGGTGACATCAACAACCTAGTCTACTTGCTAACAGGCCAGAGCTGCATCCCAGGCATCGACACCAACATGCAGTGGGTCTTCGAGGAACAGTACGTGGCTAGGAATTTGGAGGACGCCATTGCGACTGCGGGTCGTGTGGACATTCGCTGTTATGCGGAAGAGGATCGGGTGTTTAGCTTTGGACCCTGTTTAGCCGGTGGCGCTGAACCGCAGAAGGAGCGACTGCGGATCACGAATCCACGTGGAATCCAGTGCGAAGTGAGCTTTTCGGTCAAAGCGCGCACACAGAGCGGTGGCGGCGACTTTCCGTTTGAGATTCAGCCGGCTCAACTCCTGATCCCGCCACACGAACATCGCTACGTCACTGTGTCCTTCGCGCCACCACAGTTGCAGACCTACTACGCCATTTTCGAGGCTAAGGTGACAGATGGTTTAGATCCGAGGACGAACTACCTGACATTCGAGATTCGCGGAGACGGTACAGTTCCTTCGATCACACTGGAGGGCGTCGACGCGATGACGGATGGGAAATTTGACTTCGGGAAATTGCAACTAGGCAGAGAGCACGCGATTCAATTCCGATTGCAGAATGATGGCATCATTCCTGCGACAGCGCGATTGGAGATCCTGAATGAAGAGGGGGAAGCGGTAACTGACACCGTCCCGCACTTCTCGCTCATCTGTCCGAGCACGGTGAACCTCGACCCTGGAAAAGACTACTCGTTCAGCGCGAAGTTTCACCCCTGTCACGTGGGCGGACCGTACACGCAGCAATTCCGTGTGTACACGATGCACAACCCCTTTGAGGACGTGAAACTCGCTCTCGAAGGCGAAGGCTTTGTCCAGGATGTCTGCTGGGAGCTGTTCAACCAGCAGATCTCTAGTGGCGACGACGAGTTGTTGGATTTGGACATGAGTCCAGAGATTAGTCCCTTTGATCCTCCGCATCCATTGGAGAAAGGCGGTCGCCATGTGACGATTCGACCACCCGCGCCACCAGATGAGTTAGGCTTGGGCGAGTTGCCAGTCGGAAGCAGGAAACAACAAACGATCTATCTGAAGAATGGGAGTAAGAAGACAGTTCGTTTTGAGTTTCCTGAGGTCTTGCCAGCGCCGTTTGCTGTGTCGCCAGAAGGAGCGGAGATGACGTCGCAGACAGCGAACTTGAAGTTCACGCCTTCTTGCGGACACGTGCCAGCAGGGTCAAAGAAGAAGATCGTTGTGGTGTTCCAGCCATGCGAAAAGATCTCGGCAGAACTGGTGGCGATCCCGTGTAAGATCCAGGATATCGAGTTTGTGGACGCCTCAGAGCAGGCCGCTGCACAACAGGTGGGAGGCGCTGATGGTGCTGCTGAGGGTGCTGAAAATGGAGCAGATGGAAGCAAAAACCTAGAGATGACCTTTTTGCGATCTACTTCGCACGAAGGCCGTAGCAGCTCTCACGAATCGGTTGGTGGGTCTAAGAAGCCTCTCCTCGATTGGGACGACAGTATGACGATTATGGTGGAGGAAGAGGTTGATGAGCAGATCGAGGGTGCGGAACCGCTTCCGATGCCAGACGATGCCGATCCGGACACTTACGAGCCCCAATATCCGACCAGAAAAGTGCGAAGGAAAGCTCCTAAGACTCGCGAAGAGCCTCCTCATCGGGTTCTGCCGAAGAAAGACGAAGAGGGCAACGAAACCGAAGAGCCAAGTGAAAGCGATATGCCACTGAAGGTCACAGCTGCCGCTGACGACCGTGGATTTGAGTGCGAAACAGAACGCATTCATTTCGCGCCAACCATGATGTTTGGCGCAAAACTCTTTACGTTTTCGGTGAAAAACAGTAGTGCAATAGCTTTGCCGTATGAGTGGCGGGTTTCGAATATGAACTCAGCGAAGAAAAACTACGAAATCACCCCGAAAGTCGGCATCATCCCAACAGACGGTTCTTCGGAGTTCACAGTGCGCTTCCAGCCGACCGAAGTCGAAGACTTTCGGTCGACGTTGAGCTTGTTCACCTTCAAGCACCAAGTCTTCGGCGATCCTAGTGGCAAGACCAGTCCGGTCTACGTGCCACATGGGTCGGCGATGGGGCCAGACGGTGAGCCCATCATCGACTATCCAGAGGATGACGGACCTTTCAAGGTTCCACTGCACTCGATTTCATTGAATGGTTCCGCTGTGAGACCTTTGTGCCACTTCGAACTGCCAGCATCGAACTATCAGAGTGCGACGAGCGACGATCCGAAACAGATGATCATCGAGTTTCCACCAAGTTTGGGTACTCGTGTGCGCAATACGAAGCGTTTCTACGTGTTGAACCCAACTGGCGAGTCCTACGACTTCATCTGGACCGAAAAGAAGAAGGACGCATCTGCTTCGTCGGGAGATCATGACCAATCTGGTGCTGGATCGGGCGCCGGTGGTTCTGGCGGTGGATCAGGAGGTGCCGAAGGCAGCAACCCTTTTCGATGTTTGACAAAGCATGGGCATATCCTAAGTGGGAAGAAGTTCGAGATGGTTTTCGAATACATCCCTCAGTCGATCGGCGCGCACGAGAGCAGTTGGAGCTTCACTGTCATTGGGAAGAATGTGGAACAGAACTTCTTGGTGGTTGGGCACGTTAAAGAACCAAGAGTAGGATTCCAGCAGCCGTTCTTGAACTTTGGCCGTCTGTTGCTCGGTGGCAAGGCGAGGGAGACGCTGTACTTGGTGAATAAGGAACACATTCCGTTTAGCTTCCACTTCGACAAGACGAGTTACGGCCATGAGCCGACGAGCGATAGCGGCAACATGGACAACTACGGGGGCGGCAGCTCCATGATGAAAGCACCGACGATCTTCATTTCGCCAGAACAAGGTGTGGTTGGCGGAAACAGCAGCTTCCCGGTCGAAGTGCTTTATCGTCCGATCGTCGAGGAAGCAGTGAGCTACAACGTCGTCTGCAAAGTGAAGCGCAAAGAGCAGCCGCTCGCGTTGAAGGTCAAGGGCGAGGGTTACAAGATCCACGCTCAGCTTCTAGTGAAGGAGTCCATAGACCGATTGCTGCACCCAGGCGTGAAGGAGGTGGTCGACTTCGGTAGCAATTTGCAAGTCCACGAGCGTCGCGAAGCCAAATTGGTGTTGAAGAATAGCGGTAGCTTCAATTTCGACTTCGTGTGGCAGATCATCTATCAGGGCAAGAAGTTGTCGGACAATGGAAGCACACAAGCACGTCGCAGCGCCGCTTTGCCTCCGTACTTGTCGATATCGCAGATGCAGGGCGTAGCACCGCAAGAGGGCGAAGTCGAGTTCACTGTCGAATACGCACCGTTGGACACGCATACCTTAGATGGTTGTATCCTGAAATTGATGATCCCGTCAGCGCGTCAGCCCGGCAAAGGCGGCGTCGATGAGAGCTGCTACTTGGTGGAGCTGAGTGGACGTGCAAGACGTCCGCAGGTGGACTTTTCGTTCACAACGTACGATTTCGGCTACTGCTTTATTGACAAACGCGCGGGCGCTACGATTGCGGGAGACATTAGCAAGGGCAACTGCTTCAAAAAGGTGGATCTCGTCGTCACGAACCGCGACTTGAGCGATTGCTTGCTGTCCACGAACTTCCAGAGGACTGCCTACTTGGATGTCCAGTTAGACCAGTCCATGATCGAAGCGGGGCAGAGTATGGTCGTGCCGATCGTGTTCCAGCCAAGGGATTCCGTCGAATACCGGGAGAGGATAGAATTCGTAATCAACGACTTCACGAAATTCTACGTGAATGTCAGAGGTAAAGGCACGCCTCTGAAGCTCGAACTGGTGAGCATGGACATGCAGACGGTGGACTTTGGCGTGACGATAGGCAACAAGCCGCCGATAAGAAGGCAAATCAAACTCATCAATAAGTCGCCGTGTCCGTGTGAGTTCTTGATACTGGATCCGGAAGACAGGTACTCAATTCTACTTGTTGCTGGCTCCTCTCTTCAATATACTTATCTTCATCATGAACTTACCATTTATCATTATTCTCCCTGAACCTGAAGTAGCACTACGACGTAACTAGTACACGACCTGTACAAAATGAAAAACACAATCAATAAACGCAAACACTTTCGTTCCTCGCCCCTCAGGCTTCGCGACCGCAGTGTTAGTTGGACCACGCCCATGGGTGGCTCTTCGGCGATGGGCTCCTCCACGGCAAGAATAGGGTCAAAGGAACCTCCGCAAAGAGTCAATCTGCGTCCGAAAGAGCAGTGTCCGATAGATCTGAGCTTCTCTCCGCAGTTCAGAGTGGCGCCTTTCAAGTACTGCTACAACTTTATCGATTGGTCATCTTTTACTATTCTACTACCTAAAAATAAGATAAATAGATATGACCCTTGAAAATATGCCTGATACGGGTGGACCAATCAGTCTCCCTGTGAACCCAAGAACATCATCGTCCCAAACGACCCAATCTTCCTTCCACCAGGTACCCACTTAACGTGATGTGTCAACAAACGGGAGAAACGATTCACTTGGCCACTGTGTGTGGTGAATGCCACGCTACAGAAATTAAGTTGTCCGAGCACTCTATTCTCTTCCCGCCGGTGGTCGTGCAAAGTCGTGCTTCGGAAAAAGTGCACCTGCACAACTTCGGAGATCTCGGAAGCAAATACAAGTTCGAGATTCCGGCGAGGTACTGAGACCTAAGTTATATTTTAATACCTCAAATTCGAGGACGAAGAAGTCTTACAACATGCTTTGAGGAATGATTTGAAAATGCTAAAAAGAGTGGCTATTGACGACTTGTTCTCAGGAGCAACATGCATCTGCATCATTCTTCTTGATGCATTTGCATCATCACCAGCTGCGTTGTAAAACACCCTTACATATCACTATCTTCAGGTTTCAAGACATTTTTTTCATCAAGCCTGTCTCTGGATATGTCGCGCCTCACGACGATCAAGTCTTGGAGGTGTCGTTTTGTCCGAAACAAGTTGTCGACCGGGATATTACGTGTGAGAACATCGTCTGCCTGCTAGACAACCACGAGCCAATAAGACTCAGTTTGACAGGTACAGCTTTTTTTTTGGATTTTTTTTCTGGATGAAGTGGTAGTTATTTTGTGAGCACCATTTTTGTACTTAAAAAGAAAACTTGAACCATGATCAGTGACAACCACTACCACGACCATTGATCATTCCAAGACAGAAAGTAGAAACAATATATTATATGAAATAGAATAACAATAACGAACTAACCTGCCATCACAACCACAACTACCCTAAGATTTAAAACGACCCAACAACTCTCAGGTCGTTGCATCGCTCAGCCTTCTGATGCAGTGCATACGTTGAATTTTCAGGCGGAGGTGAGGAAAGAGCAGGTTCAGTCGATCACTTTCCCACCGACCGCAGTGAACAACACACAAGTGTGGAAGTTGCAACCTGAAGTGAAGACGCTGAATATTCCTAGTGGAATTTCAGCACCAGGTTACTTCTTCTGTCCGAGTGAAGTCGTAGTCCAGCCAAATGGCACAGCGTCGATCGACGTAATTTACAGGCCGTTGACGATGACAAGGCCAGACGACGTTCGAGACGACGGCACGGTCATAAAGGATTTACACAAAGGATCACTGTTTATTGCGACCCCAGACGGAAAGGCGTATGTGTATCAGTTAGAAGGACGAGCAGACCCACCAACACTCGATCAAAGAATAGAAGTGGAGGTATTATTTTCTTTGCTGTTAACTTACAACTTGCAGCTCCACTTCCATCCAGCATCCGTTCATCTTAGGTTCTTGGCCAAAAATGTCGAATCTTCTTTTTCTTTTCAATCATGCTTAGCCTTAAGGAGTCTAAAGCAATGCTGAAATATCTGACAAAGAAGTAAACGCTTTCTTCACTGGTGCTGTTTGAGAACGCTGACAACTCCATGCATTTATATCTCACCACCCTACAAGAACTCAAACTAGGTTCCCTGCAAGACGCAGCACACACAAGTGATTCCGCTGCAGAACTGGTTGAACCAGAGGCAGAGGTTCAACGTGAAGCTCTCTCTGATGGATCCACCACCAGACAGCGAGGACGCTGGTGCCGTAAAGATAAGCGGCATAGAAGTCTTTGATCTACCACCGAAATTGAAGCGTGACTACAAGTTCCAAGTCTACGCCTTTAGAGTGACCACTGTCCTAGTCCTGGCGGAGTTCGAGAACCCGTCGAGTGGAGAATTCATCAGAGTGGAGGTGGCGTTCAAATTCACGGAGCCGAAGTCTTTGGCAGTGATAAAATTCGAGACTGCATGTCGGCAAATCGCAAAGTGGCCGATTATGGTTTCGAATCCACTGTCGAAACCAGTCACATTCTCCTGCAGCAGCACAATACCAGACGTCTATTTCGCACCACATGGGGCAAGGTATTGTGGGCTACAACTCTGGTCACTTGTTATCCTTTTATTTTCGTGTGAGACAGACGAGACTCATGATCATGTAGTACTAGGACTTGCTCCTCGTGGTCCTTCCACGACCTCCTGAAATCACTAGTTCCACTTTGTACTCGTCATGCACGCTCTCACTGCTCTCCTCGTCGTACAACATCAAACTTCTCCGTTCTCCTCCCATCAGCTTCGAAGTACCCCCACACGACGAAGTGTATATGGACGTTTGCTTTCGACCTAGTGGCGGTGAGGGCGAGGGTGAGGGCGAAGTGGTTTTGGAATGCCCAGAGCTTGGGTCATACCCTTACATTACGGCTTCCCCAAAATTGTTCATCTTGAAGATGAGCATCTTCTGACGCATTTTCTGACGTGTCGTTTCCTTTCAAGAAAGGGAAACAAAATCATGGTCAAAGATGCGACTCGGATTCTCTTCTAGATGTGAAGATGAATACATACGGGTAAAAACAAGGTCTTCTAATTACCAAGTCGTGTACAAAGCGACCAGTCCAGCGATGGAGAAGAGTCTGGTCTTCAAAGCGCCATTAGGGTCCTCAGTAACGGAATCCTTCCGCTTCTTGCACTATGCGAAGAAGGCGGGTTCCTACGTAGCAAGTGTGGTGCCTGTGCCGGGAGGAGGTACTTACTTAATTTTTGATTTTTTCCAGCTTCAACATTCATCAAAATCAATTTCGTCAATGCTCTACAACGAAGATCAAGAACAAGAAGAGCTACTTTATTTACCTTTAACGGCTTCATAATTGTTCACCTGCAGCTTGATATCCGCACGACACCTCCACCATACTAGGTCAAAAGTACCAAGGCCGAGTGGAGGACTTCCAGATCGAAAGTAAGGACATCAAGGCTGGCGAAGGGCCTGTCGAAGTGGGTGTGGAGGTCAAGTATGAGCCTAGTAGTATGGCGGAGATGCGTGGTATTCTTGTGGTGAAATCACCAGAGACTGGCACAGAATACAAGACCACCCTTGTTGGGTATTCCGGAGCGCCACAAGCAAAAGGACCAGTGGTCGTGGCGAAGTCAGCGACGATCGAGTTCAGAAACCCATTTCTTATGGCTTCTGGTTGTGGGTTGCTAGTATGGTTTATAGATATAGTTGAAGTTGTACAACCCGTAACCTGATGTTCTTTATTCACACTCTGGTGCCTTTGGTCTACTAGGTAGTTCATCTGTGGTTAAGATTAAGCCCAAAAAGCACGGGCAATGATATTTAAGATCAACTAGAAAAACGTGTTCAACTAGAAAAAACAAAAATAAGAGGAGAGCCAAAAACAAGAAGCATCAAAAGCTTGATCCGATCATCATATTTAAGATCAAGTAAGTAAGTACTTTTTATAGATCACACTGTATGATCCGGATCCCTCAAGAAGGCAATAAAGAGCGGGGATCTCTAATCTGGACGATAGCGAAGACTTCGTCTTCGCGCTTGACAATCCGAATGATTTCAAGCTCAAGGTCGAGACCAAGCAAAAGATTGAGGGTCTCAAAACGGTAAGCGTGGGCATCGACTTCGTCGGTCCATCCGCTATGGGCAGTCGGCTGGTCGTTACAACAGCGAAAAGCACAACCCCGTGGATCTACTTCCTCAAGGGGCAAGCGTGAGGTGGAGGAAGTGGTGGATGAGAATACAACTCGTCTGGTGGATGGATGTGCATGATTATATGCTTAGGCTTTTATGCGTTCGCATGTGTGCGTAGTTTTATGTGAGTGGTCCCTACTTCTACTTATGAAGATCATCATTTGTTGAAGCATGATGTTGAAGAACAAAAAGCAAAGTCTCGTTGTTATATGGTCCTTTGATACAACGCATCAACATCATGATAGATACAGTTCTAGTTGGTAATGTTGAAATAACACATCAGTTTTTTGTCGTTTATGGTAGTGAAGATATCTGTCTAGATTTAGATTTATTTGTCGAAAACCAAAACATCAAGAGCCACGGACGACACCACGAGTTTGTCCAGGAGTTCTTAATAATGCTTAGTTTCTGAAAAGTTTTGTCAATGAAGATACGATTACGAGTCGAAAAATAGAAGACGTAAAGTAGAAGACGTTCATCGTGGTGATGAGCATTTCAAGCCACCCTGATTTCGAAGTTCTCTCAATCTTATTTATTACTCTACTAGTTTAGTTTACGGTAATATTTGCAAATCATTCATCAATGAACAGTCAACAGCTGAAAAGTTAAAAACGAAGATTCACATGATCAAGGACGAGTAGGTCTAGGAATTTCGTAAGAATCCTAGGTCTTAGCGACGTTAGAACCCAAGATTTTTAGACTAAGACTAAGTACGAAAAACTAAATCATCCAAGCTGAAACTTGATCCACCCAGAATATAGTAACTAAGTAAATCAAGATCGCCACGGCCGTATTCACTCAACTAGTTGTAGCACATCAAGATTTACACTAGAAATATATGTAAACAACTTGTATACCTTTGACTTTGTCATCTAAAAAGTAGGTGAATAAACGCTGTTGTAGTATTAAGATCTCCCCACCCGATAACGAATCTTTGACAATGAACTTTTGATGACATCAGATAGAAATACTATTTTAAACGATGTATGTTTGGAAGATAGATACGCATATGCAAACGTTGCGATGTTGAGAAAAAAATCGTTTGACAAATATGTGAAAACACATTGTGTACTCTTCCCAATTTCTCCCCCAGCGAAAACGAATAAATTACTGCAGGAGAAAGTGAAACAGGATATCATCCTTATTTCTGTTGCGGACGTGGTCACGACGTCGACGTGCGACGCAGCGACGTCAGGCGTTTCCGACTCTTCGACTCTTGCAACCTCAGTCTTACCCATAAATCGAGCGTTCATATGCTCGGTCTTTCATCTTCCTTGGTGAGCTCTGCTGTGACACAAAAGTCTGTCACTCCATGCCGGAGGTCTGGAAATCAGATGTCTTGCCACTCAACAACATGCGGACCTACTTGCCACTCAACAACATGGACCCTACCGGCATCGGTCCGCATCGGTCAATTTTCACCAAGCATCGACCCCACAAAAAAACTCCAAGATGCCCATTTCTACTAACATCAATGAATCGTGACTTATTTCATTCATACTTAAATACACATCATTCATACAACCTTCGTCCAGCGAAAGCAGAATATATGTAACAACTTAGGCCGCTGTCTGCACAAAACAAGAACAGAAGCGTTTATCCATATTAATCAATATATCGTCACCGTCAGCACGATTAAAAATTCATCTTACAACTCTTAGTTTAACATCTCGATCAACGAACATGGTGTCCTCGAGCTTGCTTCACTCAATGGGGTCTAGCACCATCTTTTCCTGCTTGGACCATGCACAGGAGGTGCTTCCTGCCCTCTCGTCCAATCCGAGCAGGTCAACCAAGACAACAAGCGCCGCGTTTTTCTTTTCGTCAGGTGGAAGCTCAAGTAGTACTAGCTTCATGACCACAGGACGAGCAGCCCGAGGGGCCTCTGCTAAACCGGAAATGATGAATGCTGTTGCGGGCGACGGGAGGACCACAACAAGAACTTCTACCAGAAGGCCTACCAGAAGGAGAAGTAGAATAGAAACCGCTTTCAACGACGACGTGATCTGGGAGGTGTACAATCAACGTGCTAAAAAACGCTTGGTAGAAATCCTTACCGCAGAGAAGAACAACGTGGAACACCGTCTACGCGAGCGAGAGGCGGTCCTAAAAGCCGAGGTAGCCGCAACGAAGCGAGCTCAAAAGAAGGAAAATGCCTTGTCGGACGAAACTGATAAGCTTGCAGGAAGCAATGCCCCAGAAGATCGGGATCAGGATTACGATTCAGTGGTGTTGTTCTTGTTGTGATACTAGCTTTAAAGGTCAGCAGTCAGTGGTCACACACTGATGCTGAACGGAAGAGACCACCTTCAAAGCTCTCCCTTTTTCCCTCCATTTATTTCCGGCGCTGTTCTACTCTCAAGGGGGGGTCGCCTCTACTTCGATCTCAGTGACCAACCCCAGTGACCAAGGAAAGTTGGCCCTTAATAGGTATAGCAGAAGATGTAGGTAGTTGGACTAGCGATTCTCCCTTCATCCCAAAGCCAAGTTGCTCGAGAAGGAATCGAACGCCACTGGGCACGAAGCCACTGATCTCGAATACGTTCAGAAGTTGATCAAACAGGTGAACCGATTGAAGATCGAGTTTGAGGGCGCGAAGATTAAGGCTCAATACCATCTTCACAGGCATCCTGAGACCGTTTGATGGCACGGTTTCAAACGGTTTCAAAGGGGAAAACGAAAAAGGTTCCCGGATGCGTGCCAAGATGGAAGATTTCGCTTGGTTCTAAAAAGAAGACGCTTCAAAAAGGACAAATCGCTCTCACCTACGCCAACACGCTAGTGGAGGAAGCTAAGCATGGAAAATTGACCGACGAAGTCCAATGTGTAGATCCGAAGACCTTGGCAAGGATTACTGATAATTAAGGCAGAAAACCATGATGACGACAAACTAAAATCATAGTATTGATTCTAGCCTTGGAAGATGAGACCTCTGGGGCTGACAGGACCACGACAGCGCCGGCGCTTATTTAGTAGCCGGAGCTAAGTGCTTGCCTGACGGGCCTTTTTTTTAATATCCGATAAAAAAAAGGTCTGTCAGGCGAGTGCCGATAATATCGGTTTTTCTTTTTTCTAGTTAGGCCTGCTCCACCAACAGTATTGTAGAGTTCGAGTTGTCACGTCTACTTTTACTTGCTTCTTCTTCATTACTCAAACAAAGTCAACACTATGTATCTCTCCTCTTCTAACTTTCAGAGTCCTGCGACCGTGCCCGCATGAGTGCCAAGCGTGGCGACCCAAGGCGCAAGTGCTTATGGAATCAGCTAGGCGATTATTCCTGTACCATGGAAAAAGAACCGGCTGTGGGGCTCTCTTTAGCTGAGTTTCGCCTTCTAGAACGCATTCGTGAACAACGACGCAGTCTGGTGGAGCTAACACGAGAGCGCATGAAGCAGGAGAATGTGGTGAAGACAGATGTGAAGTGGACGATGAGGAATCTGCTTATGAATGGGATATTGATGAAAATGGAGATCCTATTGCTATTGTCCTCTTCCTAGAATATATTTAAAGTGATAAGTCCAGAGAGACTGACGGGGACACGGTCACGGGCCTCTAATTCCCGCGCACAGAATGACCATGTGGATCGTTTCCTGAGACAGGAAAGAGACGGTTGGGGCCGGCGATACAAGCAGCTTCTAGAGCAGGTTCTAGCGGTGCAGCACAAGTACGTTGGACAGTACGCCACAAGCAAAATGCGTGCGGAGAAAGCCAGACTCGCTTTAGAAGAGCAAAAGGAAGTTCTAAAACACGATTTGATAGATTTTCTGAAAGAGGGCTACGAGAAAAAGCAGAAACTCAATACGAAATTGGCAAAAGCACAAGCTGCCGCTGACAAAGCGCATCCGGAATTTCGAGATCCGAGAAAAAATTTCAAGCCACACGAGATCTATACTGTGAAGCTAACACCATTCGAGAAGAAGGCCTTGGAGAAGCTGGACAAGATTTATCCGGCAAGCATAGCAGCAGTGGAGCACTCGGAGGTGGACTTAACATCCTGGGTGCACCGACTACAACAAGCGTGGGATGAAGTAATGCGACCAGGCGAGGCCCTTCATCCCGACCTGAGAAGTGAAGCGCGACTCCGCAAATTCGCTTATCGGTGCGAAGACATCGTGGATGCACCGGAAAATGCTAGTGCTAGTCTCAAGCTGCGACGATTGTTCAGACGTTCTTTTAGTAGTTCGAGTAGTCCATCGTCGAGGAGAACAACATCTCCTGATGATCCTGATCCTGACAATAAAGAAACTTCATCTACTAGTTTGTTTGGCGGAGGCGGAAGCTTCTTGTCGTCTCTAGGTTTGTTCCGTGGTTCCCAAGACGATCACAAGTTGTCGTATGCCGATAAAGTCGCTGGTAAGCATGACCATGTAAATTTCGACACCAATCCGAACAAGAACAATTATCTTGACCCTGGCGGTTGTGCGACGACTAGCGCTACGTACCTTCCTAACGGTGGATACCGGCATCACGTGAAACGCGAACATAATGCGAGATTGAATGAATTTTCTGCCTACGAGAAGTTGCGTCGCAGTTTCCTGTTGTCGAATCCTGTGGTGGAAACGCTCTTCTTGAAAAACCCGATTCTAGATGCTTTGATAGTAACGCCGCTGTCGTTCGCGGCTACGCAGACACGACAGGCTGGAAGGTTCATCTTCGCTGACACTTTACACTTGATGTTATGCCGTTTAGAGGAAGTAGATGTAGAGAATACTTGTCGATATTTTCTAGAGAAGATGAAGATGACTCGGACGTACTCCACTTACACCTACTCAACAAGGTAGAAAATGAAGATCATTTTAATGAACCACGTTGATGTCGAAATTGAACTATGAGGAAGTCGTGAAAGAGACAATCATGATCTTCGATTACTAGCATGTAAGGTCACAGAGACTCCCTTCTACGACACAGACTCCCTTCTAATCTCGCCCGCTAGTTGGTTCGTTACGGCACCCAAGGCACCAGAAGCGCGACATTTGATGCATGCTTTGGCACTGAAGGAAGTGCAGAATGTGGATTTGCTGCGAGCCTACGCGAAATATCAGGCCTTCTACCGAAACCAGTACGAGCCGGTGGTCGATGCGGCGAGACTCGCGCGACGAATGCAACAGAGAGTTGAACGCAGAGCGAAAAAAACGGAACGACAGATTGCAGAAGCACTCTGGGTAGCCAATGAAGCAGACAAAGTGCTCAATTCTCGCTCACCCGCAGCTGAATTCATGAGTGGCGTAGATCGAAGAGCAACAGCATACTGAACTTGTTGTCGTGTAGATTCTCGGAGAGCAGCGACAGTATACAACTGAACTAGTCGCGTAAGTACAGATTATGTTCGGTGTACTACAGGACGACGAACTTCGGAGAGCAACAACAGCATATTACTGAAACGCACATAACAAACGTGGATGTAGTGGCCAAACATGTGCTACGTGGTTATGTTGCTGTTTTAGTCGAGTGGGATCAACATGATGTCATCAAAACTCATGTCGATGCTTGGTTCTCCATAACTACAGTCATGAATATGATGTTGATCGGCTTTCTAATTCGATTTCATCCAGCACCTTTCTCAATCTCGGCATGATCTATCTTGCTTGGTACCCTTTCCCTCGTGCTTCATGAGAGTAAAGGGGTCGAGATGAGCTGCTCATCTCAACCCGTGTACTCTCAACATAGCACGAGCAGGGGACCGAGATGGAGAAGAGCTGACTCTGTGGAAGACAACTAGATATAATCGAAAAAAGAAAATAACCGAGTAGCTAACTGAAGTCGCAGCTACTTCATAAAATCTCCATCACGTGGCTTTTTGATGGGTTTAGGGTCAGAAGTGAGAAGATTGTCCGCGACATGTTGTGTCTTCTTCTTGATGTGGATCTTGATGGGAGGAGAGATGTGCTAGTTGTGCGAAACTAAGGTAGGTCCTTGGGCTCTGGCCTCAAAGCTGATTTGGTGGGTCAGATCGGTAAAAATGGTTTTGTTTCATGTGTTTCTTGGTGTTTTCCTTTTCTCTATTTATTCTCGTCCTCGGTGGAACAAGTCCTCGCATGAAGACATTGGTGCAAAAATATTGAAATCCTCAAGAAGGCTCTTGCATTTGAGTCAGGATAACATTTCGCGAGCAGGTGAGTGAATGAATGAAAAAACAGAGCTGTGGTCTTGTCTGTGTCTTCATTTTTTTTGGTCGTCGGTTTTACTAGTGTGGTAGTCCATCAATTTATTTCATCAGACTACAATATTGAGTTCCCGACTTCTCTTCATCATGATCTTGATGTAAAAAAACGTCGGTCCTCTCGGCAGTTGGTCTCCTCCATTTTTTTGACCTAATGCAAGCATCTTGCTTTGAAGATGGTCTAAGTACGTAGACTTCTTGGAACTACTGGTGTTTGTTCAATCATATATATTCACACGATGTCCTCGAGAGTTTGGGTTTGCTTTCGTGTTCTTTTTATATGTGGCATTTTTGAAAAAATCGATGAAAAGGGTTTGAAATAAGTTTAGATGAACTTTTTCTACTAGATCACTGTTGTGGTACTAAGTTCGTTGGAGGTGACTGGGAAGATTATGTCATCTTCCGTCAACAAGAAGAAATATACCAGCCATCGACATCATGAAGATGTACCGCCTAGGAGTCCAGCAGCATGATTCTTGAGTTGCAGGCGTGAACATTTTTTTTATGGTCCCTCCACACCCACATTTTCATGATTTTGATTCCTCATCTTTATTTTCATGATTGTGAATAACAAAGAGAATAGCAAACTAACAGAGAAATATTATTACTGGTCTGCTCTTTGGAGGAGACGAGTAGAAGTCGTTTTTTTTTCTAGTGCCTCCAGTAAGTGAATATGAGCAGTGGTCTGCTTTTTGGATGGGAGTCTTCCTCTAGTGGCTATAGGACTACGCCATTGCAGGAGGGTTGTTCGTGTTTTCCGGTGTCGCCTAGTAGAGGTGCGAAGATGGAGGACAAGCACAATCTTCCTAGTACGTCGTCCACGACAGGAGCTGCGATGGGAAAGAACGTGATCATGCTGGGTCCTCAAGCTCATCAAGGAAAAGGGCAAACCGGGGCGATGGGTTTCTTTCAGATTCAAACACCAGTTTTGAGGACAAGTGCTCCTGGATCACCGCAGATTGGTCTTTCGACTAGGACTCTTGATATTCAAAACAAGAACTTTATGGTTATGCCACCAGGACCCACGGCCGCGTGTGCCTCAGCCTCTGCAGCTACTGCGTCCTCTGCTGGTGTTCCCGTTTTGCGATTCGTTACGCCTGCTCCTGAATTTGGACATGTTGATCAACGAGAAGCAGACGAAGCAACAGACAATCAAGATCTTCAGCCAGAGTTGAATGAACACCTGATGGTCGACAAGCATGCTGCAGTGGCAGGTGTTCTTGGTTTTCGTGATGAATGCCAACCACAGGTAGATATACAACAAGCAGAAGGAGAGAATCCTCAGGTTTTCGTCACATCTTCAACGGGGGAGCACCATCCACAACATTCGCACCAACATACATACCAATCGGGTCTTCAGCGTGGCCTTTGTGGAGCTGGGCTTGGTATTCAGCATTTATTGTCGCGGACTTCATCATCGTCTCCGAAAGCTATGCCCACGACAGCAGAGAATAATATTTTCAACAAGAACAACGTCAACGGGAACGGTGTGGGTCGTGTCGGATTACACCAGCATTCGGTTGCACCTCCCTTGAATGTTAGCCTTGGACTGCTTCCGACAAAGTCGCATATTAGTTCTGTTTTTACACCTGCACCACGTGGGAATCATAGAGACAGAACAGCGATCATTGGAGGAGGTGGAAGTATTACAGCTGGGTCTCCAATGAGACAGGGAGGACGAGAGACTGCGATGAATGCACCGACATCATCGCGGCCTGCTGTAGATCTCTCATCCAGCCGAGGACGCAACCGCGCTGCTCCTTTGCCGACCTCCTCGTCCATGCTGGAGATGCAAGAACAAAAAACAAAAAGGATCGACACGGACGCGACAGCTCCTGCAAGCACATCAATGTCACGGTCATCTGGGTGCACAGCTTTACCACAAGCTGCACAAGAGCAGCCACTTTCTGCTCGTCCTACAGTAGAGACGGAAAACCCGAGCAACGTTTCTTGCTTGACGGATCATGACTGCATCTTGACTTGCAATGTTGCTTCCAAAGTGGACATAACATCAACTTGTGGCGACAACTGTAGTACAACGAATCAAGTAGAGGGACAACAACAGGAAGCTCAGACTACAATCGATGCATTGACGCGTCAGATCTCTTTTTTACAGTCTAGGCTTCACATGCTCGAACTACATAAAGAGGGAACAAATGAACGAGAAACAAGAGGGCGCACACGACAACAACAGCCTCTCGTCGTGGCAGATCATACTAGAAGTGCTGCTTCTAGTACGGCTATCTACTTCCTACCGACTACGACTTGCGCCGCCCCATCTAGCAAAGCATCGGGTAGGGCGCAAAGAGCAGCAGTAAGAACCTCCACGATGAATGTTGACCATAACAACAAGAACCGCTCTAATTCAACAAGAAGGACCAGAAGTTTGCCTCGGTTCAGACGACAGAATCAAAATGCAGCAAACAATGATGCAGTGATCAGAAGACCATCGAATTCACAGTCACCGAGAGCCGCTAGCCCTACGGCAGAGACGCTTAGGAGCGGGAGAGCACCCTCCCCGACTACCAGGCGAATGGGACTCAACGATAGTTGTACAGGTGACGAATTAGAGACTTCTGTTGGGCCCGCTCACCAGGGTATTAATTTACCAACGTTACTGCAGGATGCTGTTCCTGCTCAACACAAGAAGATGCATAACAGAGCCGTGATGTTCAACATGGAACGTCAAGCACAGGACCACCATGATCCTTCTTCATCTACAAATAATACTGGTCCTGGCTTCCAAATGACCTACGCAATAAGGAAAGTTCCGCAATTGCCAGAGAAATTTTCGCAGAGCCGGAGGAAAATAAATCCCGATCTGGAGATTCGCGAATTCCTCGAATTACACCCGGGATTACCAGTCCGAATCGAACGAACTGAAGGAAATTTTGATAAGAAGTTATGAAGTGGAAGAAAGTCATGTGAAGGTGACGTAGACGCATGGATACGTAGAATCACATCGGGTTCATGCCACGCAAATCAACTACACCGACTAGAGGACATATTCATATGATGAAGATCAAGAAGATGTTTCCATGATGCCTTGTTCCCATGTTAGTGAATGTAAATCACACAAATCGCGTACTTACAACTAAAATCACCTGCTCTTTCTCCCGTCCCTCCCTCACGTTCCTCCCTCACTTTTCTAATCCCCAACACCCACCCCACTTCGCATCCGAAAGGCGGCCTTCCTTTGCGGGCAGTTTACACCCTGAGGAGCACGAAAGTATCCGGAATGCAAGCAGGTTGTAGAGCTCGAACGATAACGGTCACGAGAAACCGTCACGATGAGAATGTGGTTCGGATCGGTTGTGGATATGAACAACTGACAGAGTACCTGGAGAACGTCTTTTTTCGAAAGATGGTTGTCGGTATGTCATCTAGTACGAGCTACGAGGAAAAAGTTCAAGTTGGAGGACTTGGAGTAGAAGGTGGGGCAGGTGGTTTGATGTATTATTGATGGGTAAAGTTTTGACGAGGTGATTTATTACAATCGAAACTCAAATTTTGTATAGGTATACCTAAAAATCCTAAGTGTATGTACATCACACACATGTATATTATCTTTTGACAGAACGCCAAAATGGATTCGACAAGGACAACTACGCAAAAAAGACATTGACATTTTCCATGCATGTATAGCTAGAGAAATTTATACTCAATTGATCGGTTGATTTTGCTAGTAAATCGTTGAATTTTCGAAAACAAGTAAAAAACGAAACTCCACCATGTAAATAACTTGTATGTTGAAGAAAAAATCCGTGTACAGCTACAGTGGGCAATAGCAACCTATCCTATCCTATTCTATCCTAATATTTGGCATCCATAATCATCTTCATGTCGTTGGGGATTACCTACTTCTAAAAATTCAAAAAACATGAGAACGGGAAAACTTTTTGGATACAAGAACCAAAATTCGCACTAGAAACAAAACACTTGGAAAAGATGAAGAATGTTTGCCTCGCATACGCTATTCGTATTCATCTTGTTATGACTGTTGTAAATATTAAAGTTATCATCTTGTTTGGGACGCCGACGCTAAAGGAAGCATCAAGGACGAAGATGAAAAAATGTGAAATCGCTGAACTAGCCGCGAAGTACAGATGCGAGCGTTCTTCGAAGGGAGGGCAGGACGATGATGCCAGTCATGCATTCTATAGATCAAGGAAGATGAAGATTGCCTTAAAAGTCGGACAGTGAAAGATTGTTGACTACGGCTCACGCGTGGTATCTTCTTAGTCTGTAACTGTATCTGAATTCGGACAAACAACAATAGAATGACGCGTCTACGAGCTCCAGGTTTTTTTTTTGCCTCCGTCTTCTGGCAAATATTTTTGTTACCACATTTGCATTTGGTAACAGGATCCCGACAGTTTGCCATTCCCTCCTTCGACCTTGTCGATGGAAACCGCATGCCTATTACGGGCATCGGTATGTGTTGCCGGGAATCCGCGAAGGGCGATGCGGCCAGACAGACCGTTGTCGACTACCTCAATTTTGGAGGAAGACATATCGATACCGCTGTTTTGTACCAGAATCATGTTGAAATTGGCCAAGGGATTCGAGAGTGGATAGGGAACAACACAGGCAGCAGATCTGCGGGGGATTTGAGAAGAGAAATCTTTCTGACGACAAAAGTTTGGTCCGACAAATTTGGATTCGAGAGAAGCTACCGTTCGGTGAAGAATGCTTTGAGTGAACTTGGAGTGGACTATTATGGGTAGGTTATAAAGGTGCCTTTTGTTACCGTTTGTTATGGCTCTCCTAAGGGGGACGGCCATAACGAACGGGATAAACGAACACCAAAAACCTAACTCTAAGCCTATGTGGATTTGGTGTTGCTACACGTCTCCGGTGAACAGGGTGGACCAGATGCCGGCCCAGATTGCGTGGAGGAGTCAGCGGAATATCCGGGTGCAGGAAACTGGAGCTTATGCCGTCGAGCCAGCTGGGCAGCATTGGAGACGTTGAAAGATGAAGGAGCTGTGAGGTAACGGTAAGTACTTTTGGTTTGCTTAACGTAACTACAAGTACGTATTTGAATCAGTTCTTGTACAGGCAAAAGATGTGATTGTCGTGAACTTTGAAGGTCCTGGCACGTAGACGTACTTCCACTGCGTAGTCGTTCTTCTTGTCATTATGTCAGTATAATCGCATGTTCATCTTGAACAATGATGCATGCTCATCAACGAAGATCTTGTTGATGTTACGACTGCAATCTTCCTCTCCAGATCCATTGGCGTCTCCAATTGGGACATCCCTAAAATGGAAGCTTTGCATGCAGTTTCCAAATATCGCATTGCCGTCAACCAAGTAGAACTACATCCTTGGTACCCGCAACGTGAACTCCTAGCTTGGTCTAAGAAAAACAAGGTTGTCGTAACCGCATACGGTTCCATGGGCAGTCAGCGACTCGCGAAGCAAATTTTATCGCAGGATGCTTTCACTTCGCTATCGCAGCCAAGAAATCTCCAAGTTGGCCAAATCCTTTTGCGGTGGGCGGTGCAGAAAGGGGTGGTAGTGATACCAGGAACAGCGAATCCAGTCCACATGGAACAGAATCTGGACTTGTTTGGCTTTGAATTGGGAGAAGAGGAAATGGCGGTACTGGATGGAATCGCGGACACGAATGAACCGATACATATCTATGGGCATCGGCCTGATTTGATCTTGTAATCTCCAGGTCGTGGATGAAGGTGCTGAAGGCTTCCTTTTAAGCTGCCCATAAGCTTAAGCATGATGAGATTCATCTTAAAACCTCCGCGCTTACTTTGTTCTTTCATGATAAATACAAAAAGGATGTTAAGATATACCTGGACACCTACGTACATGATCTTTCACAGCATCTTGCGGTCAGGCTTCATATGACGGTTTGCCAGGTGTTCCCCCACGCTGTCCCTGCCAGGAAGTTGATAAGTGAGTAACGATTCGATTTGCGAGAAGCTCGATTAAGTTAAGTTTAAGTAGATTGCGTCAGCTACACGTCTAGGTACAGGTACTACAACTCAGCTTGAATTAATTACCTCTCTCTGTAAGTCTATGGTCTTTAGTCATCAGCCGCGTCGTATTTCAACCACCAGGAGCCAGAAGAAAGAGAAACTACAACAACTACATCAAAAATAATGTTTCCTCCCCCCGCTGCTTCATCCGTCCGTCGTTTTGCTCGCGTCCCCTCTTTGCATGTTTCGCGGAAGCTAACCGACATCGTCAAGCTTCCCCTCTTGCAGAAAGAGTCTGCTCCGAAAGTCCGCGAAATATGGCTTTCGCACGACAAGCCAAGAATAATCAATGGCGCCATCGCGAGGCAGGAGTGGGACGCACTCTCAGCGAATAGTCGAGCAGCGCCATTGTTCGTTGTGCCAGTATATCCAGATGAGGATTTTATACGGTCGAGTAGGACGGGAACGGATCTGAGTGCGGGTGCGGATGCTGCGGCGTTTGGTGTACTAGGAGGTGCTGGCAGTGCTTCATCTGCGACTGAAATGACATCAAAGAAAGCATCAGTTGGTACGATATTAGAAGCAAAAGGAATAGAAGATGGGAAGTCGACTAGAGCTCCAGCGGCTGGTGGAAGTAGCACCTGCTCTACCGTTTCAAACTCTGGTTACTACAATCTCGTTTCGGAGTGGCAGGGTGACGAGATAGTCCTGACTTTCCTAGAGGACTATCAAAAGAATCATACAGACGCAGTTCCCTTCTTGGTCGTGAATTTCTTCCAAGATCTTCTAGAAAGCCACAATGTAGTTCTCCTTCGCGCAGACATTGTTAGTGGAAATCTGACAAAGAAACAGGGACAATTGGCTATACGATTTTTGCGGGAAGCGTATACGCATTTGGACAGATTCGAATGGGTGAAAAAGTTCAATTTTAGACCAAGAGAATTCGATTACAAGAAATTTGAAAACTGGTGTGTCGGGTTAAGGGGCAGTGGAGGACAGGCGAGGGTAAAAATGGCACCACCTTCAGCTGGTTTAGCAGCATCATCGCAGAACAAGATTCTTTTGCATTAGAATGAACAATAATGACGGTGAGGTACTAGCGATAAACCAATGTTGAATATCGCAGTCGAAGAACCATGTAAGTAGTACATGATCTTGATTCCTACAGAGTCGAACGAGATACTGCAATCGGTCTGGAGGTGGGAGGTCCGCTTGACCCTAAAGGTGAGTTGAGGGATGAGGTGAGGTGAGGCTTACTTTGCCTCTATAGATCACAACGTGCCTGTAAGGACTGGCTAGAAAAAATACCTTATCCGGCTGACATCAAACGGAAATAGAGATAAACATCAGAGTGAACCACGATGATTCTGTAATTACAACAACAACTACGCGGTCTAGCCTGGTCTATTGATCATATTACAGACTTCCTTTGACCAACAGTACAAAAAAGATGCCTCCCTCGCCGAGGCCCCCGACTCCCACCACGGGAGTGATCCTCGTTGGCACAGGCCGTGCAGCCTCTTCCAATGCTTGCTTTGCGAATTGGGCAACGAGATTGTCTACCACGTCCTCTGGTCCTCGAGATGTTCATATTAATGCAGTGCAAGCTCTTGATCAACAAGATTCTCTCCACCAACGACATCCTCAACATGCATATGCACCACCGTTCCAGTTGTCAAACAACTGCGTTGTCGTTGGAGCAGGACGAGGCCTTTTCCATGCCTCCTCTTCCCGCCACATGATGAAGTCTATGTGGCAAGTGCATCCGAAGCATCGCATTCACGGTTGGTTCAATGCTCCTGCTGGAGCCTCGAAGTTCAAGTGGCATTGGCAATTGCCTTATCAGAGGTTGTGGCCAGAAAGCTTGTACCACTCTCCTGAAGTCTCAAAAGTAACCAACAAGCCGATAGACTGGTACAACGATGAACCGCAATCTGGGTACGAATTTCGGGACGTGTTGGGACCATATACGTTGGAATTGACAAATATACCAATGGGTGTAACGCCAGAGACCATGCAAGAAAGACTAAGACGGTTTTTCTCGAAGTTTGGACACATAAAGCACTGTCGAGTTTTGCCGCACTCGCATGATCCGTACTTCGTTCTATACTTCTACTTGTTGCTGTCTTGTACTTTAAGTACTCGACCACGAGGAAGACCTTCATATTTATTACGACTCGTTCCCTCCTACGACTTTTATCTAACCTATCTCCATTATTACGACTCGTTGCCACCAACCAAAGAAATAAGAGGAAAGATACTAGATGGTTGTATCATGAAACACATCAAGGTACCAATGTTGCGGCACGGGTTATGTCACTTTTGAGAATTCACGCGCAGTGTGGGACGCCATTCATGCACCTCTGAAATTACCGATCTCCCATCATTCTCGGGTAGTGCACATGCGCTCACTGGATAATGATAAGCGCAGCGATCCCATATGGATCAAAAAGCAAGAGCATTTCAATACACAGCTCATCAGCCTCGCGGAGCAATTGTATCGAATTTTGCATTTTAGAGAGCAACATCATGGTGAGGCGGCGATGACATCAGGAACAAGTTTGACGTCGAGTTCGACTTCGGCTTTTTCACCAAGAAGCACGTTGAGTGGGGCAAGAGCTAAAACCAGTTTGGGGACAAAGGTATCAAGTTGGTGGAGCACTGGGGTTACAGAAGCACAAGCAGGACCTAATCATGTACTATCAAGAAAGGATCAACAAAACCCTGCTTCTCCCTTGCCTATGGCCCTCGATAACATCGCTTTGGAGCTGCAGCTATTAGAGCGTTCTCGATTTCGGGAGGGCGCTGACTTCGATCTAAAGAACCAGGGTTGGCTTAGTCGAAAACAGCATCGGGATGCTGTAATGTCCACTTGTGATGGAGCCGTAACTTCTGCGCAGCGACATGAAGCGGACGTGCACACGTTGGAAAGTACGAGTACTGGTATAGCGGAAGAGGCTGTTCTGTTATGAATGATGTCTGTGGTGTTTTAGTTCAAGAATTGAACTTGTTGAAAAACAAGTCATGCCTAATAGTACAGCTAGTAGTACTGTTGCTAAAAAAAGTTTTTTTCGATTAGCCTCTAATCTCCTCTCGTTTCGACGGTAGCTGGGAAAGATTCCTGACGTTCAAGGAATTCTCGGAGATTTTCTTGATTTTTCAAGCTGATGTAGACGGCCCTCCGATTGGAGAGGGGGTCGAACATGAAGCAGGATTCGCTTTTCAACGTCGTTGTTTGACGAAAGACGATATTGAAGAGTTGTTTCGAGACGAGGATGCTCAGGAACAACCAAGCCCTTGCGACATAAATGCGGACGGCGCAGAGACCTTTTTTGCAGATTGCAACATGAAGATCTCAACATCTCAGGGCGAAGAAGAAGGAGGTTATTCCGAGCCTAATGAATACAACCAAGCAAATAAGATCGAACAACCGAAAAATCCACCGTCTCGATCATATTACAGTCCACCTACTTCTTCACCGCAGCACCCCCAAAAAGGCCAATGGTATGTTTCTCCTCGGATGCTCTCTGAAGAAGCACTCCATTCCGCTCTGAAGCGTGCTACCGCAAGTCTTCACGGCAAACTTGAGGAGGAACTGAGTACCTACTGGCGGAAGGGGCGCATTGAACTGCCGGATCACACGAAGAAGATCAATGAGATTTGGTACCACAAACCAGTGCTTCCATGGCGGTTGCAACAGCAGTCATGGCCGACCAACCTGGGTGCACCGTTCTACGAGAAAGCGATCGTGATGCATATGAAAAAAAATAAGAGGAATGAGAAGAGACAGGTACTTACAGTACTTGTCACCTACAACGACTTCGAGTTGGTTAGATCTACTTCATCTTGTGAACCACGTGAAGCAAGAAGGTTTTGATTTGCCTGGAGCCTCCTGACGCTTTTTACGCTTCCTCAGCTATAGCAGCTTGATGAACTGATACTTCTGATTAATTTTGTATGGTTTTTTAGCAAGACGAATCTCAAGAATCTCTTTCGTTTTCACTACCTCATGTTGATCTCGATGTTTCCCTTTTCACGATCGTCGATCTTCCAACCACTTCCTCAGCTCAAGCGCGCCCCTCGCTTAGCAGCGAAAGCAGAGGAAAAACGACAACTAGAGGACAAACGACAAGCCGAAAGAGATGCATGGAACCAGAATCATAAGGAAAAACGCATCCAACAATTGCGCATGTCATCATTTTCAAAAAAGAAAGGTCTATTAGCTAACACGTCAGAGCACAAGTCGTTGACAAAGGAGGACAAGCAGGTGTTGCACTTATTGGAGAAGGGAAAGGTTGCAGATCGACAAGTATTCACAGCAGAGCAGTCGAGGATGATTGGATGGTGAAAAGGTCATGTTAAAAGCAGAAGAATCCACTTCTTGAGCCGGTTCCTGTATAATCAGCTAGCTCTCCTCCGCTTCTTCGGTGTAGGAACCAGACTCGATGCAAGAATGGGTTCGAGTCGGCATGATCAACATTTATCAGAGATGATCGTTAGCTCTGCTCTTCTTGCTCTTCGTTTTTCTCATCGGCTCATCTGTTTTCATACTCGGATCACATTTTTCAGACATCAGCATTTTCTTAATATGGTACAAAAACATAGGACAAATCGACATTTTCAGATGTTTCCTATAATTGACGATTCGACAACATCCACTTAGGGGACAACATCCACTTACTTAGGGGACAACATCCACTTAGGTGAGAAAAAAGTTCACACCAGACGATTCACTACTACAACTACACAGAAACCTTTATAGTTTTTTGTGTGACAGAACAGTTTTTGAGCAATTATTTTTTCAAGATGAAAAAAAATGTTGAAACTGATTCCGATATCGCTGGTCGCGATGTTGGTGTTCTTCAGACTGCAATGTTGATGAACGCGAATATTTTACAACAATCACTGATCATCATGGTACTTCTCCTGCAGATCCCGATCTGAGGTTCATCATCTGGATATGGAAGCAAGACTCGTCATGAGTTCGGAGACAATATCTGTGCATACAACCATGAAGAATATCGCTATCATATTCATGGTGCAGCTGATGATTTCGTGATCCAGAATGTTCCCTGCTTTGGAAAAATTGCTTGTCAGTTCAAAATAAAGTGGGAAATGATCGCTGTTCATTGTGATCGAGTGCATCTGTTGAATAGGAATCTTTTTGAAATACAATCCATCGTATGGACCTGGTATATGCACTGAAACTAGAAATGCTTACTCAAATCATTAACTTACTAGAGTGTTTTTATCATTCACCTCTGCTTATCAGGAGGAGCGAGTTTGGGTACAACAAGTACAACCTCCTGATTGATTTTGATTCATATCGGCGTACTAGACGTACCTAAAAAATTATGGCTGCTCTTGCCCTTACGAAGTTGGACACCGTGTCCGCCAAGGTGGCTGACGCCTCTGTGTACCAGACACCGTTGCAGGTTGAGAACACACCTTTGAGGACCACAGGTGGTCATACCTGGCCAGCCGCACGTGCGCTGTTCGAGTTTATTGCGAAGACGGATGGCCTGGGACTTGCCGATTTTCTAAGAAGTAGAAGTAGAATGGAGGAAGATGGACGACATGGAGAAGAACAAGCCGCTATCACCTCTGAATATATTTCGAAAGACCTTAACATTCTTGAACTGGGTTCTGGTTGTGGATGGGTAGCCTTGAATTTAGCCTACAGCTCGCTTGTCGCTGGAGGTCGTTATTCTGGTCGACAGTCATTGAGACTAGCGATAACCACAAGCGAGCAGCCGGGCAAAGCGTGTGAATGGCTGCAGCACAATATCGAGAGACATGCAGAGACACTTGCTACATTGGCATCGAAGGCAAGTTTATTTACCACTAACACAGATACTAGTACAGATATTAGCAGCACTTCTTGTTCTTCATCACCTCCGCCTGTAGTTGCCGTTCCTCTCGACTGGCAAAATCCGGATTTGAGCTTTCTCGAAGATCTTGAAGGAGACGACCACAAGGAAGCGAATTTAAATTCATCATCATCAAAAAAACTAGACTTTTTAATCGGCTCCGACTTAATCTACAACGAAATCGGGTCCAGATGTCTCCCGAAAATAGTCAAATCCCTACTTGAGCAAACTGGTGCTTCGCATTTTCTATATTCACATACCTTCCATCGTTACGACCATTTGGACAAAGAGTTCTTGGAGGTCTGTGAAGCAGAAGGATTGCAAGCTAGGGAGTTGGAAACTATGTACAGGAAGTTGGACTTCGGAGGAAGAATAGTGGAGCACGAAGTACCGATCCAAGAAGAATTTGAACAAGAAATTTTTCCGGAGAAAAGAATAGCGATATTGAAAATCACGCTGGCAAAGGCGGATAATTCGTTGGGCGTAGAAGCTGCCGGTGGAGCATGACAAAGAAGGTCTTGATGACGCTGCTCCATGACTATTTGAAATTCCTCCTATACCTCATCCACTCCCGAACCCAAAAAATTCCTGTACCTGAAAAACATTAGATTTATAATAAGTACTCATGACGTGGTCCCCTCACCGAAACATCACCATGATCATCTTCGTTAGGCATGCAGCAGGACAAAGAAGGTAGTCATCTTGTGTGTTTAAGTCCATCATGACTGAACGTCCTCGTTATCGGTCATCCAGTTATAGCTCCATAACAAGTGCACAAGAACAACCACGACGCAACTCATGATTGTGAGCATGATGTCATTGCATGGATCATCTTCTGCCATGATTCGGTTTCGAAATATACATCGGTAAAATCGGTTGAATGCAAATATATACAAGAAATACTCAAACTCATCGCACTGTAGCTACCTGTTTGTGTCTTCTTCAACACCGGGAGTCATTCGGACACGGGAGTTTCTTCCACTGCGTACTCCTTGTCCTTGTCGTTCCTCCTTGTATTCTAGTTTGGTTCCACATTCTTCATCTCACTTTTTATAAGACACACTTCTTTATTCCGAACAAACCATTATTTTGAAATCATACATAGTTAAACATGTGGTGCTCAGTCTTCTATATGTTGTAGTGCCTGACTTCTAAGAGAGGAGGTCGGAGGACCTAGGACAACTTGCTAAGAATGTCGAAGGAGACGTCAGGCGATGACACCTCTTCGATCTCGTCGCTGTCTAGCACGGACAGCGATCGGGTGAAGAACATCCTGAGTAGGTGGAGGCGACCATCCGGACCCAGAATTACTACCGAAAGTGCTGCCAGCAAATTTCTGGCTCTACGGAAACCAAAAGCCAAAGCATCTCCCAATAAAGGCGACAATAGCTCTTCCTCTGCGGATAGTCTCAGTGCACAGTCAGACTCTGATGGGACACAGTCACGACCGCTGTCTCAAAGTCAGTCACCTCCGGCTAAAAAGGACGACAAAAATGCAGCTACCGATGCGGCGACGGAAGAAAAAAAGCGTGCTGCAGAAGAGGCTGAAAAGAAGCGTGCTGCAGAAGAGGCTGAAAAGATGAAGCGACTAGCCGATGAAGAAGCAGCAAAGCAGGCAGCTGCAGCTGCAGAAGCCGAAAAAACGCGACTAGCCGATGAAGAAGCAGCACAGCAGGCAGCTGCTGCTGCAGAAGTTGAAAAAAAGCGAGTCGCCGATGAAGAAGCGGCAAAGCAGGCAGCTGCCGCTGCGGCAGCGGAAGCTGAAAGACAGCGAGTAGCTGATGAAGAAGCGGCACAGAAAGCAGCTGCGGCTGCAGAAGCCGAAATTAAGGGACTAGCCGATGAAGAAGCAGCACAGCAGGCAGCTTCGGCTGCAGAAGCCGAAAAAAAGCGACTAGCCGATGAAGAAGCAGCACAGCAGGCAGCTTCGGCTGCAGAAGCCGAAAAGAAGCGACTAGCCGACGAAGAAGCAGCACAGCAGGCAGCTTCGGCTGCAGAAGCCGAAAAGAAGCGAGTAGCCGATGAAGAAGCAGCACAGCAGGCAGCTTCGGCTGCAGAAGCCGAAAAGAAGCGAGTAGCCGATGAAGAAGCCGCACAGAAGGCAACTGCTGCGGAAGCTGAAAAAGAGCGAGTAGCCGATGAAGAAGCAGCGAAGCAGGCAGCGGCGGCGGCGGCGGCGGAAGCAGAAACGCAAGCAACTGCAGCGGCCGAGACTGAAAAACAAGCAGCTGCGGCAGCCGAAGCAGAGAAACAGCGGCTGCCTGCTGACGAAGCAGACAAACAGCGACTAGCCGCTGGTGAAGCGGAAAAACAGCGATCAGCCGCCGATGAAGCAGCGAAGAAGGCAGTTGCCGCGGCAGAGGCGGAAAAGCAACGGTTAGCTGCTGGAGCTGATGAGGGAGCGGGGGCAAAAAAAGCAGTTGCGGATGCCGAGCAAGCGGAAAAAGAGCGACTGGCCGGTGAAAAGGCAGAGAAGGAAAGGCTAGCTGATGAATCAGAGGCCGCAAACCAGAAGAGTCAAGCCGAGGCTGAAGCGGAGGCTGAGAAGCAACGCCTTGCAGCACAAGAAGCTGAGAAGCAGCGATTTGCGACTGAGAAAGCGGCAACCGAAGAGGCCGAACAAAAACGTCTTGCTGAAGGGGTCGAGCTCGCGCGAAAAAAACAAGTGGATCAAGCAGAAAAAGAGCGTCTAGCGGCATCGGAAGCGGAACAAGCGGAAAAGAAGCGGTTAGAAGAACAACAACAGGCTCTTGCTGGTGAAGAACAACATCGCTTGGAAGAGGAGAAGGAGAAGCAGGAAGCAGAAGAAAAACGGCTAGTCGCTGATAAAGCAGAACTAGGAAATGCTTCCGAAGAGAAAAACAAAAAGCGTCAGGATGAACTTGCAGCTGCAGAACAAGAGCGACAGCGCATAGCAGAAGGACAAGAGCTAGCAGTAGCAGCGGCAGCAGCAACACCAGCAGCAACTAGTACTGTTGTTGAGAAAAAACAAGGTCCTGCCGAGCCAGCTGAAAGTGGAGAGAGCAAACAAGAGCTAGATCAGTGGTTGACCGAGTTAGGCGACGATGCTAGCGCTGCGGCGGTGAAAATGCAAGCGAAGCAGCGCCAAAAGCAAGCCCGAAAGGAGGTTGACTCACGGCGTGCGGCGAAGGCACGACCCCCTTTTCCACCTCCACCAAAGACCGAGGCAGAGATCGAACAAGAAGAGCTTAATCAGTGGCTTGAGGAAATCGACACTAACGAAGCAAGCAAAGCCGCTCTGAAAATGCAGAATAAGCAGAGACAAAAGCTAGCAAAGAAAGAAGTCAACAAGAGAAAGGAGGCAATGCAAAAGCGGGTAGCGGAAAAAGCGAAAGCTTAAGGCAAAATGTTTAGTGATGTTGATCAATCGACATTCAGGATTTTCAACCTCTTTTGTCGAAAAGCGATGTCTGTGTGTGAAGAAAAGCGGTGGAAGTTGAGTCCACTTTGATCATTGTGATATACATTTTCTCGGCTATTCGATGAAGAATTTCGGTTTTCTTCCTTTAACTCCTTGACCAAGAGAGAGCGGAAGCTAGAGCCAAGGAGCAGGCGGAGCTCGATGAGTGGATGAAGGGTTTGGGAGATGACGCCAATGCCGCGGCCCTGAAGATGCAGAGCAAGCAACGTCAGCGAGAAGCGCGGCGCCAAGTTAGCAGAAAGCGAGAAGAGGAAAACAGGGTCAACTTCGGTGACGTCGACTTCATACTAGAGGATGCGGAGGGAGATGTGGGGACGACGAGAGCAAGACTGAGCTCAGATTCATGTACAACTAATTGCGGAACTTGTTAGTTGTACTAGTTGCACTTCTAGTACTTTTTGATGGCGATTGGTGTATGCTAAAGATATTGCTAAATAACGAATTCTAGCACACTCTGGTCGGTAATGATCGCTTGCCACATTTTTGTATCTTGCAAATCCAACAACTCGCAGATCCTCATCCTAGCAAAGCGCATCCAATCTTCAAAGCAGAAGATTTTCATGTTGCGCCGGACGGTAGCAGAAGAAATCTGCGGGCGCGCAAGGAGTCTGAGCCAGATCTTCGAAACTTTGCGATTATGCATGCAGACCTGAAACGAGACCAAAGTCAGGATCTGCGTGTCGCCCAGGAGTTTGAGCGACTTCAGTATGCTGACGCGCGTCGTGGAAAAGGCCAACTGCTGGGTAGTGGACCATATGTGAAGAGACAACTACCAGAGCACAAAGATACTGGTGGAGCGAGTAATCAGGCTGCTGAAGGCGAAGCTCTTTTGCCATTCTTCCAGAAACCACTAGGGAACACTAGAGGCGTGGGTATAACATTTAGATTGAGACGAGTAGAAGGAGTTGTTACATACAGATACATTTACATCTCCATAATTTTTCTAGGACCATCACGACATCGACACCTGCTACGTACTGCTAATATGAATTACTTAATTTGACATTTCTTTCTTCTAATTTTTTTCTTTCATTCTTAAAAGTGCCTCGTTTTGGATCATTCATCTCCTTCTCCCCCACGCAGCCGCCACGAGCGTGATGATGATCGATTCGTCAACTGCGGCTACAGTGCCTATGTCCGAGTTTGACGACGATGGGATGGAGCCAACTTTTCGAAGATCCCCAAAACTAGCAAAAGTAGAAGAAGAGCCCCCCTCGTCATCTTCTATGCACCAGAAGCAGAATGGTGGCCTTACGTTGTCCTCTGGTGATGGTAGTATGCGTAGCATCATGTTGGCTACAGGACCGATCGGGATGTCAGCACAGGACTACATCAACAACGATGACGAGGCGAGGTTGAATAACAGAATCGTAGTTCCTATGAAACGAAAAAGTGCACTCACACTTCTCAAGAAATTGGCTAGGATTTAAGTAGGAAAATAGCCACTTTTTTTGAGTGTGACGAGTGCACTTTTTTCTTTCATAGTTCCAGGTGCAGTTCCATCAGCCCCCGCGCCTGCGGATGCTGAGAGTCTCTTTGTCAGAACGCCTGGTCCTTCAGGTATTTTTTTGATAGACCAGGTTGGAGCGAAGCAGAGCCGTTTTGCTCTGGCTGGCGTTGGAAAGGATGTGAAAGATCGACCAGCACTACCACAGTACGTCAGTCGAAGGAGCACTCACCGAGGTGAGCCGCGAAGTTCACCGTTTAAGCAAACAGGCAAACAAGCGATGAGCAGTCCAACTTCATCTAGTTACCGTAAACATGGAAATAAAGGTACCGGAAAGCACGCAGCGGACAGTCCACAGAGGACAACAACAGGAGGAGCTCCTGGAGGATCTTCTTCATCAAGTAGAAGTAGTGTAACTATAGGAGCTCCTTCTCCTTCATCAGGAGCTGCACCAGTAATTCTTGATGCACCACCGTCTTCGTCTTCAACAGGAGCAGAGGACTCAGGAGCAGTAGAATTGCAGAAGAGGATGGAGGCTGTTTCTCGAATACCGCGTCTGAGTACACCGTTCGAAGTGAACACAAAAAGCATCCTAGGAGATCCTGTGGTGAAGAAGATCATGCTGGAGCAGGAGAAGAAGTTGAAGATCCAAGAAGAAGTCTTTCGCAGACTCAACTTTGTGGCGAGGAAAGACGACGACGACAAGCTAGTGCTTGCAGAGCGACTGAAATATTATGGTACTGCTGCTGTTGTAATCCTTCAATTTATTTTTTGACTAAAAATATAATTACGGTATTATAAGTAATTTTTGGAATCCTAATGTATGACGTAAGTCATTTCATCAGAGGACCACTAGTATTATTTCGGTGGTACAACTCTCATATGCTTGACATAGACCTTGTACGGCTCTTGCACGGCCTGCTCTTCTTTTATTCGTCTCTAGTTCATTCTTGTTCGACACTATTAACGATCTTCCCAACTTTTTTCTTTACTCCAACCGTTGACCGCCTCTGTTATACAAATTCCAGCACGTTTTGATTTTGTTGAAAGACCACGACAACCACTTGCCCCAGGTGTCCCCGGCGCTCCTTCCCGTTTAATGGCGGACGGATCCTGGATGCCAGACCCAGACGAAGGTCTCGGGTTGACGACTCGTCGGTGGCCTATGGATTTCGCCTACAGTTCGAAGCAACAGCGAGAAGCCGAGATGACACAGAAGTGGATAGATGAGGAGATGAGGAGAACGGGGAAGAGTGAGGAGCATTAAGGGTTGAAGTATTTCATTTTTACACGCTTTTCTCTCTTAAGATTGCTCTTGTTTAAAAATGAAATGTTTCAACCTTTAAGAACAAGTCCAGGCTGAAATCTTAGAAGCGGCGAGTGATCGAGATAAGAAAAGAAGTCCGAAGAATCGAGGTAGCAGCTTAAGTCCACGTGGAGTCACGAAAGTTATAAAAGCGTACGGTGGAGGAGTCATGGGAGAAAGGGAAATGAAGAGGTAATTCAAATTTTTATTGATCTTGACGTTCACTTCTCTAGAACACAAACTTGTGCATTCACTCCTGCTACGTTATGATCATTCTTCATCAAGAAAAATCGTAACGACTTCTACGTGCCTCCTAAATTTTAGGACCTAAATAAAATGCTACTCGTCCTTCATCTCCTGTTTCAGGGGCCTAAATCCCGAGCCACCGCGGATTCTAGAGGCTTCGCCTGAGCACGTTGAGATTAGTCCCCTTGTGTTTGGACAATCCACCGACCTGAATACCAAAGAGCGAGTAACACCTGGCTCTCCGAGAAATCACGTTGCCCAAGTCACGAGAGAACAGAAGCGTAAAGCAGCTAGAATGAAGGCTATCCGTGAAATTCAGGCCTATACGCTGGAGCCAGCAGCAGCCTCCTCGTTGCCCGTGGAGGATAGTCGGAAACGTAATCAGTCCATGGCTGCACGTGGCGAAGCGGTCATGAGTAGTATGGAGCCTCCGCGAGGCGGCGGACGACCAATAGAGGGTCCTTTAGGCTGGAATCTCTCCTCTAGAGCATTGAAGATCGAGACCGGAGCTCCTACGCAGCATCAAGGGATCGGAAGTGCGAGTAACGCTAGCTCATCGCCTGCACATAGCCAAGCAACGCACGGAAAGGCATCGAGTGGGTCAGCGAGTCGGGAGCAATGGTACTAGTGCATTAAATTGCAATAGCAATAGACACTAAGTGTAAGTTCAAACACTCACAACTTATTGTTCTTCTAGTTGTACTAGTTCTTAAGCTTAGGGGATTCAGCCTTTATTTTTTTCAAGTGCCATAAATGATGGTCGTTCAAATTTCATTATCGTTGCCACCTCCTTCAAAATCCGAATCCCATCATCATGATCATCCCTTCAAAATTTATATAACAAACAAGGTACGACCGCCACCATATCATTCCTGCTAAGGACAACTTCGAGAAGCAGTCCTTGTACCGTGACTATTTCAGCCGACCTCAGGAGACCATGGATAATATCCGGACAGGACATACATCGGCTGATTACTATGACACCCTTCTGCAGCAGGAACGCAACAATTGGAAGTACAAGAAATGAGCAGCGGAACAGGCGGTGCTAGGGACAACGGTGCGACCATGTTTTTATGAAATTAAAAGATTTTGATGATAAAAAGAGAATATATAACAACAAAGCTTCTAAGGCATAGGCATGATGATAATTCTAGTATGTAAGTAGAAGTCGTATTAATATCAATAAGATCATGATAGTAGCCCATTTTTATTGACACACATGTATTATAAGGAATTTGATGAAATATTGAGAATATCTAATTATACGCATAGGCATACTAGCCATAGATCCGTTCATAGAAAAGCAAAAAGGTTAAGCACTCTAATTTTCAAAGAACCATCAGGATTGAAAGTTTTACGAATCATGTTGAACATCATGAAGATGCTTCGAGCATTCTCCTGCAAAGTTGATAACACTCACAACACATTTCCTACAACGACGTCAAGCAGAGTTTTCGAACTATCTACGCTTGTAATTATGCCTGTATCTTGCTGCTTCTCTGATTTTTACGCGCATTATTAAGAATTTCAAAGAAATTGTTATGCATTTTCGTATTGGTGTTTGTATCTAGATTTTGATCGAGCGAATCATTTAATGTACAACATGATGTTGTTCTTCTATTATAGTTTTGTTGGGTACTAAAATACATTGGATGTGCAAGAAAGCATAATTAGTAGCAACAGAATTTGATGATGAAGATTTGTTTCCATGAATGTACTTACTTACAAAAATAGCTAGATGAAGTTGAAACGAACATAACATCAAAATTCTTGCTGTTAATACCGTAAGCGTACATACAATTGGGACGATCGGATCAATAATGCTGCAGGAACCAGGACCACAACGACGACAACAAAACGAGTATTCGTTTTGTTGAAAAATCATGGGTTTGTAACTACAAACAACGTCTCGTTCAAATTCTAGAGCACACGTCTCTGAGATTGTTTGTCGAAGAAATCTGACTTACCTATGGAGGTACAACATGATCAAGCAACCAATGTTCTTGATCTGTGAGAGAAAAAAAGTTTCTGTCAAGAGGAGAGAGCACGAGAAGTGAGATATGCGGCCGAGTGATGCCTTCTGAGGCTAGTCGTGCTAGGACTCTGTCTGCTATTGAGTTGAATCTGTAGGCAGGTGAGTGACAGCTGACTTGACGTGATCAGTGTCCTCGTTCATGCCAATAAATAGCGACGAGAGCAGGAGCTTATGTAGCGTGTTCAGCATTAGGCCGAGCCGAATCTTGGACGAGTCGGAGTTTAAACTAAATTCATGAGTCCTTGTCAATGTCAAACGTCAACATAATTTCTCTCTCAAATAATCTATACCACCACAGGTTATTTGCTAAGTTGTACCCACAAAACTAGTCATCAAAATTTCTATTTTAGAGAATCCCGCTTTTCTTCATCCGCCGTTGTACAGCTACTAAATTGAAAATTTATTCCATGTTATTCCATGTTCATATCTTTCCGCTTCTTCACTCTGATGTCTTCTTGTTCCTTCTAATTCTATGAAGATGTAGTAGTTGATTTGCATGTGTTGTTGTTATAAACTCGCTTCCAACTACTAGTCTGCTATGATTTCTTATTGACGTTCTTGTAGATAGGTGCTTGTGAAATAATTGAAGATCATTCATTGCAGACGAATCTTTAATATCTTTCTTGCACCTAGTGCATCATAGTGGCTTTAGTACAGTCACATGGTCAGCTTTTTCTTCATCAATCATCTGGATCTTAATTTACTTCGATTTTTCTTTTTCATCGTCATTTACTCTTGATGAGCATAGTTTGTTGCTTGTTACTTAGTAAGTGTAAAAGAAGAACAGATCTTCAAAAAAAATGGGCGCTGCCGAGTCTGTCCCCAGCGCCGAGCACTCTACCCTCTGTGAGATAGAGGCGCGGTTGTTGGAGCATGCTCGAGTGCCTGTGCGTGTGCGGGATTTGATACTGCCGCAACGCCAAGAAAGTATTCATTATGCGCGAATCGAGGGCAGAGGGCAGGTCGGAAATGGCCTCCCTATGGTGGTTATTCACGGATACGGTGGCGGCATTGGAGTCTACTATCGAATGATGAAATTCTTAAGGCCAAATTCACTTTGATGTTGATTAACTCATCCACTAAATCTTTCTATCGAGGATTCTAATTCTTGTTGTTCTTTTAGATGCTACTGTCTGAGATGCACTAGATTAGGGCCAGCAGCAGAAGCTAAACAAAGAATACTAGGTAGAACAACTACTATAAATTACCCGCGCTACCTCACTTAGACTTCTAACCACTATGGCTGAACGTTGGGCAGGACCGATCTATTTCCTAGACTTACCAGGGATGGGAAGCTGCATGCGCAAAGAGAAGAAGTTTCAGAACGCGCAAGACGTGGAGCACTTCTTCGTCAAACGTCTCAAGTTCTGGGTCGATTCCGTGCTTCCTCAATCTACAAGAGCGCGACTCAGTGCAAATAATACAGCAAATTCAAACGGGGCGACAAGTTGTGCTGTTGGTACTTCCACGGATGAACAGCAATTTGCTCCTGACGCACGCGTGGAGGTTGTTGGAGAAGGTGAACAAATGCAAAATGGCAGCACCGGAAGTAATATTAAAGGTAACAGCAAAAGCAGTGATGAACAACATGATCCCTCTTCGGGTCTTGGTGATGGCCCATCCTCCTCGGCAAGCGATTCTACTCGAGCACCATCCTCAGCAAAGGTTGCATTCAGTATGACGACCCACACGGTTACCTACGATCCATCTAGTCCTGGAGAGAAGCAGACGTCTGAACCTGAAGCAGGTCCTCTAGTCGAAGAAGCTGATTATTTAGATCAGGACGTGGATGAACAGGAGGGTGCTTCCACAACTAGGACATCTACTTCTGCAGCTAAGAACACGACGGGACCGGGAGTCGGAGGAAACTCGGTCTCAAATAATAACTCTGGAGGTTCAACATCAAGTCGCAAATCTCGTAGTGCAGTCCAGCCGGATCGCTATACTGACAAGTTTGTTCTCGTCGCGCATTCTTTCGGTGGTTACCTGTCGACTGCGCTTGCTGGACAGATCAAAGACCGCATCGCTGGCCTCGTTCTCCTCTCTCCATGCTTTGGGTTCCCTAAAACCCGGGTTCCGAAGGAGAGCGAGAAAGGCTATACCGAAAAGATGTCAGAGCTTGCTTTCGGCGCTCTCGAAAGCAATGCTGGACCAGGAGGTGTTGCACGTTTGGTAGGCGGATCATTTGGGGGCACAATGTTTCGGCACTGGGTAAGAACGAGGTTCATGCAGCCACCACCAGAGAAGGAGTACGATGCACTTGTGGATTACCTCGTGGGGATCAACTACGGTACTTACCTATAATCTTAAAGAATAAATCTTTGTTTGCTTTGTTCCGTTTTACTTTCGGAACCTCTTTTCTCCAACGTTATTACCTCGTGGGGATCAACTACGGTACTTACCTATATAAAGAATAAATCTTTGTTCTTTGCTTTGTTCCGTTTTGCTTCCTCTGTTTTTTACCTTCGAACCGGAACCTCTTTTCTCCAACGTTTTTATTTGCTTTCCGTTTATTTACAACTAAGTACTTAGCTACTTTCAAAGATCATTGAGAGTAGGAGAACCCACGACTGACCATGATCATGATGATACCCAATGATCATCGTGGTCGTGTACCAACGACGTCAAGTAGCAATTTTGATTCTTTGTCATCAATTCAACTTGAATTTACTTATGTATTATTTCAGATGCCCCGCCCGGTACGGAGCAAAGTGTCTTCGCTTGTTTTGGTCAGTACATGGTTCCGCTAGCCGAGATTCCGTTGATTGAGCGCGTGGGCAAGCACTTAGACGGCCTACCGATCATCTCCTTTTTCGGATCCGAGGACTGGATGGACCGTGAGGGCGCTTCTTATCTTGGCGACGTCGCTGTCATCGACAAATGCTCTCATCAGATGGCTTTGGAGTATCCCAGAGTAGTGGCACGGAGCATCATGTACTTCTGCAAGTGGAACATTGATCCTCAAACCGAACCTCTAGTCGCGCAATGGAAAGCAAGGATTGCGAATCCTAAACGCGGAAGGCGTGCCACGGGATCGCATGCCATGCTGGCAAATAGAAGAGCAGCAGCTGCCACGACTGCGAACTTGTCAGCATTGGACAAAACAACGGTGAAGTCGAATCAAAATGCTCTGCAAGCACAAGTAAGTGTGGGAGATCTTGGAAGTGCTGAAGTAGGCGTGGGTGAAATTGTCAAAATTGAACCAGTACCAGAACAAACAGAACTTCTACCACCACCGAGTCAAGACCAAGATGCTGCTCCTGAGTTCAGGGATAGCTTGTTTATGGGAGGTGACTTGCCTACTTTTGCTGATAAAGGAACAAATGAAGCAAAAAACAATCAAGCTGAACAAGATCATCAACCTCATGCTCAACGCTACCCACCTCCACCTCCTCGCTCAACAAAACAACAAGAGCAAGACCAACTACCTTCTAAGGCGCCTAGAAATTCCGGGAGAAGTAAAAGTGCAGAAGTTCTTGGTGGTGATCGATCGCCTCAACCACGACGTGACAACAACTCAGCAGCTAGAGGTGACAGTAGGAGGACCTTTTCTCCTCCTCCACCTTCTACGTCGAAATCGCGGAATAGCTTTTTCGGTGGCCGCACTCCCGCAGTGGTCATTCGTCCCGAGAAAGAGGTTACTAAGGAAGACCTGCTGATGTCGAAAAATCCAAAGTATTCGAAGCGACCCTACAAGAAGATCGTGCAGATGAACAAGCGCGTTTTAGTATGGTGGTTGCCAAATGAGTCGGGCAGTGGAACAACTGACATTCGAGATTTTAGACCGGATGATGTCGTTCTTGGTCGTGGCGAGACTGTTCAACAAGAAGATGATCGCGAAGACCTCTATTCTACCAGTATTAAGGCTGTACCTAATACATCTTTGGACGTATCCTTGGAACTACGTATGGAGGAGTATCCTAAGGGAATACTCTCCCATACTTTTCAAGGATGCACTTGAAAGATGAACTACGGACAGCTCTAACAGTAGTGACGATCATCAATATGAAGAAGATTTTAGTGGAGATGAAGTACTTCTAGCGGACGGTCACGGTGCACGACAACAAGTAGAATCTTCAACTTCACTGTCGAAGAAATATGGAGGCGCAACTTCTCGAACTGGAGGAAAAGCAGGAGAAAGTAAGATGAGTGGTGCGAACAACCAGGATGCAGATGAAGTAGATCATCGACGAATAAGAAAAATTGCCGAAGATCATCATCACCAGAGCAGGACGACGAGTGGCAGAAGTGGAGGTGCTGGAGCCTCTTCGTCATCTGGAGCAGAAAATAATGGAGAAGAGAAAGGGGATAACAAGAAGAAGAATAGCAACAGCAGAAGTCGTAGTACAGGACGTGGCAGGAGTGGAGATCAACATGAACATCGTGGTGGAGGCGCACCTCCTGGAGCTAGTACCTCAGAGCCTGTTTTGAAACCGAAAATCGTTGTTGATTTTATTGCACCACGACGAATTAAGATCGAACCATCAGACCAGCAAGGCCAAGGAGAGATTGATGACGATGACTACTCAGTTACAGGACAAGGTTCAGACCAACAAATTCGAAGCATTTTTAGAAAATCTTCTTCTCGTGACAACATGAACAGTGATAGCAAGATGAGCGAGAAGGACAAACAGATAGCCGAAATCCTTCAGATGAGGGCGACTAGTCCTAAAACTCCGAAACGATTTGGAGCAGGGGCTGAAAAAGCTACAACAGAAACTGTTGCGAGTTGGGCAGGAGCAGCTTCGCCAAGAGACGGAGAAACAACTGGAAGATTGGTGGATCCACGTGCTGCTACTGGTGTGGCGAAGAACAACTCCCAATCTTCAACAAATGAAATCCGAGCACAGGATCTCATTCATCCCGGAATTATAGTTGACCATAGCAGCAAGATGAACAAACTGGGTACAAATTCAAACACCAGCAGCATAGACGGGGAACCGAGTGGGGCTACTTCTGATGGGGCAGCCTCTACCTCCAGAAGAGGCACGACAACTGACATCAAGCTTATTAATAGAACAACTTCTACTTCACTTCGTGCAGGAGGAAGCGGAAAGGTACAACTAGGTGGAGATAAGGATCCTCCTGAAAAATCGTCTACTTCTGGTGACACTCCTAGAGGTGCTCAGGGCTGGTTGCAGACGTTTCTTGCCAAAACGATCGATGAGGACGGCGAAAACGACGAGGTGCAAGAGCAGGAAGAACGACGACGGGAAGAGCGGCGCGAGCACAGGCGAAAGCTGAGGAGAGAAAGAACGCAGGAACTTTCCAACTCTATGCGTCGTTTGACAGGAAGGGAAATGATCCTGACCCGACCTGGAGGTGGATCGCCTCAGGATTCGGAATTCCTTCAACAAGGAGAAATGATGAACATGTTAAACAATCAAAAGGAAGAGATGATTGGCGGAACATCACAGACAAACAGTAAGAATAGCTACAGTCAACATTTGATGAACAACAAGCGGACCACTACCACTAGCGCGAAGAACTTCAACACGTCGGATCGAATCGCGCAGCAGCTTAACCAGTACCATGAAGTGGAAAACATCAACAACAATCCCACACGTGATGTTGATGAGCAGGAACGAAATATTTTCGATGGCGATGTCGATCTCGACTTAACCTCGAGTGATGAAGAACTCACCCAGAAGAAGGAGCACCTGAAATCGAGACCCACAATTTTAGCTGACTTGAAGCCGATTAAATTCACGGAAATCTAGTCGAACGAAGACTCTTATACTAAAAAAGGAGGTAAAGTAATTCTCATTTGAAGGTGTACTAACAAACATGTAAAACTAGAGAAAAATAGAACGGCAAGCATTTCGAAGATATTGTGATGAATAACCTTGTTTGTGCACGACTATTTCTATTTGGTAAAACACAGCAGAAAATACAACTCGCTCTTGGACTTATTATATATATAATTATTTGCTTCACTTAATATCGCTATCGGAAGCAGCTTAATACCTATGAAATTTAAAAGTATACTCTTGTTCTTCTACTTGGTTCGACGACGAAATTTTTAAGATTGTAGAAGTAGTTGTTGTTGTACAGAATGTATCCAAAGCGACATCATAGTGCCATCAAACACCTAATATTCGGGATTAAGAGCAGCAGTCTCTCCGTTTTCGTCTTCATGAAAGTACTAGTGCTCAGGCGCAAATGATAGTAAAAATAATTTTGTCAATGCATAAAGGTTATTCACTGCAACAACGTCTAGTTTTCATTTTGTTAGGTTATCATGTTTAGGGAGCTAGTGTAAACGAAGTTCGTGTGGAGTTCAGGTAGGGGGCTCATAGAATACATCGAACCAAAAAGCGCAAAAATGAATGAACTCCGATGTTGCCATCATTAAATGTTAACGTTACAACAACACCAAAAACATACGAAATGAAAAGAGAGGCTTCATTTCCGTGTAAGGTATTTGCATCTGGGACCACGAGGAGTTCACACTTCAGATCTTGCGGCTTTTCGTATGCGTAGTTGCTACGTGGTTACATCGTCATTCGTGCTGAAAAATGAACAAAAATGCCTCGTTTATTCGTGCTTGATATCTTCATATAGTGGTGGAGTTCCGAGACCGAGAACGAGTACCATGCGCGCCCTGCTCTGAGTTCATATCCTGCATGTGGTCGACGTGTTCAACGTTTCACAACAAGCAACAACTTTCCTTGCTATGGAACAGTGTTTAACTGTAAGTTTCCTGGACTGAAAGTGTCTAGCTACTAGAATTTTGACTACTCCAACACAACATCACGAGAAGGCATGTAAAACTGTGGACGGCGGACCCAATCCTAATCCTAATCCTAAACATCACAACGAGGACCTCCAGCAGGTGAAGGAGAAGAACTAGGTGGACATTGGTTCAAATTTTTTGGATCTAAGTATCTTTTTTTTGATACTCGTCTAGTAGATGATCCTTCCTTGAGTACGCTGATCATGTAGTTGTTTCTTGTCTCCTAGTACCTCTAGTACAGGGTTGGTAGTGCTATAGTACTTCAAATCATTTTTGTGATACTCTAGCTAATTAGTACACGCGGCCCATGATTGAGGAAGTTAGAGTTTTTACTCGTACACTACAGGACAGCATCATCTTCATCGATGAATACTACATCGTCCACCAAAAAAAAAATCAAAAAAGAACCTCACGATTATAATGCCCGGCGAACTCGTACTCGGGGAATTCCAAGCCCCCGCCGAGGAGCAAATTTTATGGTTGTTTCACTGATTGAGACCGAATGATGAACGGAAGGGATGACAATGACTTTGCTTCTCGTTCGAATCCATGTTTTGTTTCTAGAGCAACGACTGGCACAAAGCATCAAAATCTTAGAATAGATGATCATGATTCTCAATCAGTCCTGCTCCCAACCATCTCTATCATACGAAAAGAAAGCACTACAAGATGAGGTCGCTGTCTACCTCGAAGCCCAGAAGCGTTACCTCGTTTTCACTCGTGATGGTATCTTTCAGAGAGCAACTGCGGAAGCTCCACTGGAACCCTGTACCAAATTAAGGCTCAATACAATTTGTTGCTAACAGTGATTCATTTCTCACCTGTTCCTTCTTAGGATCGGGAGAGAGGCGCGCAAGACATGAATTTTTTTTGAGCTCGTCTAACCAAAGGAAATATAGCAACTCTAGCTCAAATGGGTGCGCGAGCGATGCGCTTACAGGAGCAAAAAGTGGACAAGGAGTTGAATGAAGTGGAAAAAAAGCTTCTAGAGGCTGGTGGAGGTGCGGAGAGGAAAGCGGGAGGAGGAGGTCTTTATGAATGATTTCGTTTTAGTCGTGTTAGTAGAAGTGTTAGTGTAGTTTGCCAAATATTTATAATAGAAATAGGCAAACTGAAACCCACGACAATGTACATGAGTTACGTACTTATTCACTCCGATCGATGGTAAGTAAAAGTATCCTAAAATCTATCATCTCTAAGTGCAAGAAGAGCGTGTTGCTGCCGAGAGACGCAGGATTGCGTTAAAGTTCCTGGTGCTGAGACACGCAAAGATCCAGTTTCGCTCTAGACAAAATCTTGGAGACATAGCTGCTTCTGAAGGAGTAGCGAAATCACCCGATGAAGGTGTAATTGGCGAAGAAGCAGGGAAAGAAGAAATCGATAAAGATATCGATCAACAGGCGGACGATCTTCATCTTGATAATAGGAATGCAGCTCTTATTGCTGGTAACGAAGATGCCACCAGCAGCACAGCAGGAGGAAGTCGAAGTGATCAACAAGCTCGCACCATCGCTACAAACACAGCTTCAACAACATCAGCTTCGTCTTCGTCTAGAGGAACCGGAGGCTTATTCAAACGAGGAAACAACATGTTCAAGCAACAGATGTTGTCTTCGTCGTTGCTACAGAACCTAAAACGTGGCGTTGCAGAGGTAAAGCAAGGAACGGATGAAATTGTACGCCAGAGACACCTGGAGCAAGATTATTTAGTCGATGTAGAAGTACCACCTTCATCAGTCCAATGTAATTCACATGAACAAGATCACGGTGTAAAAAATCCTGCAACGTCGTCCTTGAGAGCAGCCGCGTCTTCCTCGAGAAGTACACGAGCAGTAGAGACTAGAACAACAGCTAGTATACCAGCAGGAGCTCCAAAAGCGAAAAAGAGATCTGCAGCACCAAAGCGAAAATTACAGGTCATTGATCGTCGAGATGGCTTGAAGGACGTTTTTGAAGGGTTGAACACTGCTTCTGCTACTTCGAGTAGCAGCTGCAGCTCTGCGTCGGCAAATAACTTTAAGTATGGACAAGGACAACAGAAGACGAAGCGACGGAAAGTGAACGATGACGACAAGACGGATTTGAATGTAGAACAAGGCGGCAAGAAACGTGAACTGCTGGCGAAGAATAAGAGAGCAGGCGCTCCATTTTCTTCTGAAGATTCAGAGGACCAAGAGATGAGCGTCGAGTACGAGGAGGGTGAGAATGCTGAAGATGAAGATGACGACTACGGACCGGAGGAGTTTTTTTCGCAAGCGCCAGCGGCGCCAGCATTTATACCGCAAACAACAAAGGCTAAGTCATCAAGTCGCGGTGCACTAAACCCAGCACCTCCACTACCCTTCGAAGATGATGATGATTTTCTTTGTGATAGTGATAAAGATGCGCCTCCACCTGCTGCTAGTCGCGGCGCTACTTCAAGTAGACCAAATCTAGTGAACCTGTATAAGAACAAGAACAAAGCCGCGGCTGCGGTGTCCTCTTCTACTACAACTTCTACAACTACTTTATTCGGGTCGACGAGCTTGGAGAATGCTGGACCACTGCAGATAGACTGGAATGCACCAACCTCAGTGGCCCCACAAGAAAAACCCAAAAAAAATCAAGCTCCCTCACCCGATGAGAACCCCAAAATGGAGAATATGATGGCACAGATGCTCTTTGATTCGTCTGATGAAGACTAGACGTACACACCTTGCTTTGGGTAGAACAAGTATATATTTATGATATCTCAATTGCCTTCGCGGCCAACCTTGTCTTAAGAACTTTCAGCACGGTGGTCCAAAGGGTCAGAAACTTACCGGAAACTTTCAAGAAACTTATCACTTTCTGGGTCTGGCACTTCTTTTTTTGGTGCATCAAAATGGTCAGACTACTGCTAATTTTTTATTATAGGCGACTCGTCCGCTGTTTAGTGCTTTCGTTTTCTTATGCTGTTCTACTCATTTTTTCATCCTGATTCTGCGTCAAGAACTTTGCAGAAGTCTCTCAATTCACTCTATCGCTTCCCTATCCAAAACGCCTCTCGTTCCTTCTTTATCAAAAACGCCACAATCGCTACCCACTGGGCTATCGAAGCAGAGGCATCCTTGTCTTGCTGAAAGATTCTGCAACTTTGTTTGCAATTTTCTAGAGCAAGGACAAGCTCCGGCGGCGGGATTATCTATCAGCCCGAGGAATGCGGTCGAAAATGAGCGAGACGCACCTAGCCACGCATCCAAAACCAAGGGTCGTTTCTTGTGGGCGTGAATTCCTTCGCTGAAAGTTATGATAATCGTCGGCTTTCGGTCCTGCTGGGAGTCGACGGCAGGTTATGCTAGGAATTTCATTTTTCTGGCAGCTTTTTCCAAGAAAAAGGGTGCTTTTTTTATGTCTTCGGCCTGGTTCTTCATCGACTGTCCGAAGTTCCAGCGTTAGTATGTGCGCTGGCCAACAGGTCGGAGGCCTGCCTCCGGAAGAACCTTCTCCACGTGCACGAGAAGACACTGCACAATTTGTGTTCTGTATGCATGAAGTTGCTCAACGAGAGCCACTTCTGAGCGTGCAGATTTTTTGAACCATGGACATGGGCGCGGTTTCGGTATTTGGCTGCAATTTTGCGAGGGTCTTAGCGTGTGGCATTGCGAGTTCAGCTCATTTTGCGACTGCGTTTATAGCTGCAGTAGCGGAAGCTTTCAGGACGATCCAGCACCGTGTCGTGACTTGCTCAGAGGGTTGCTGATTGTGCGAAGTTGATGGAGTTTTGTATCCTTGGGGTCGCATGTGTGACGGTCTGACATTTATGACTACATGAGTCAACCGCGGGCACTATATCGCTCTTTTCAATCATGGCGCGCTCATACTGGGACTAGCATGAGACATCAGACATGGCACACAAGCCAGATTAACGCCTCCAAATGCTAACAATTTCGACGGACCATCTGTGGGTGATCTTGATATTAACTACTACAGATGAAGAAGCGTTTTTGACTGGAGGCGCAACCATAAGCACTAAGAACCGTCGAGAACAATAAAAGAACAAGTGAGGAGGTCTTTGCGTGTTCTGAAGCATCAAAGGAAGCTGATCTACAACAAGGAGTCTATGTCGGGGTCGTGAGTTGCAGGAGGTTTGCGCAAGATGTTGCTAATCCCTCTCTTCATTGGAATGTTGAAGAGCAGAGTCTTCGAACGAGTGGCATCTATTTTTTTTTAGATATGTGTCCATCTTCCCTCTCGTGGTCCAAGTTGTGAGAGAAAACGAGTCGACGTCTTCCATGTGCAGGGCATTCGTGATCATTATTTTTCTGATTGAACCACCATGACGAGCTGCAGCATGAGAACAAGTCACTTTCTAAGAAAGCGACGCTTCAAATTCATCAACTTGTGAAAACGCATGTCCTGTCGAATGGCTCGCGATGTCATCGCAGTCATATGTTGTAGCTCGATCACGTTCTTTTCCATAACTACTAGTATCTACATTTTTAGGAGTTATTTTGTTGTCGTGTTTCTTCACTTTGACTATAGTAGTTTCCTTGTTTGCGACCAGATAGAGCAACGCGTGGCCTACTTTTGGACATGCTCACCTATTTGATAGGCGATTGATATCCTTGCTTTCAGTCATATGATGTTGATGGTTTTTGGTGCTGTGGCAGGCAGCTTGTACTAGTTGCTCGAAGCATGATCATGTGTCACGACTTGAACCAGTAGCGCCGTTTTCGTATGTTGTAGCTGTTGTTGTTGAAGCATCATATTGGCCTTCGTTTTATTTCTTCCTCATTCCGGTTTTTTTTGTATTTTTTGGCAACCATCGTCGTAGTAATTAACGAGCTGCAGCTACTGGCTCGACTGAAAAACTCCTTATGGTCATCTTTCACCCACCATCAAAACATCCAAACCTCCACCTTGTAGCTGTCAGTACTGAACTCGCACTGTATAACTCCTCGTCGCTATTGGCGTCTAATACATCTCTCTCAGTCTACTTCTCTTAGATCAAGAGTTGTCTACAAGATGAGCAGCAACACGACCCGCGGAGACAAGGCAAGCCGCATTATGAAGAATAGTACTAATAACACAACTACACTCCAAGTGTTCTCGATGAGAACAATACTCCCTGATGCTATGCGATATTGTTCCTGAGAAGTCAAACAGTTAGACCTTCAAGAAGTGCACGGCGCGCAGGCGCATCTCGTCTACTTTGTATAGACTAACTAGTGACTTCACATAGCACAAGGATGAGGATCCTGCTGCTGCTGATCATCAGGAAAATGCTGCTCGGGAGGTGGTGCTGAAGTTGTTGCGATCATTGTCTCATCATCCGATGGGCCTACAACTTCCGTCTTTCTACAACTACTGGCATTGATTACTTTTGTAGTGTGATAAATGTAAGAAGTTATATTTTATTTATTGTGGTCTTCGCTCTCTCTAATCACTAGGAGGACAAGGTCACGGCCCTCCAGAGCAGCCCTCCCAAGACAGCCCAGAAATCTCCGACGAAGAAGAAGCTGACCAAAGCAGAATTTAGGTCGTCTCAGGACGTCTTTGCTGCTGCGATGATCGCGAACATCAACAATAACGTGTCCTACAACAAGAACAACGACAGCACCTCCGTCAAGAAGGAACTGGTGGAACAAGAAGAGAACAATGATGAGCAACTAGTTCTCATGAACGACATGATGAAGGGTGTCAGCGGCCGCAAGCTGGTCCAGGAACAGATGTTGACCGTCGCTAAGAAGCCGAAGAAGAAGAACAACAGCAAAAGTGATCTCCTCCTGGAAAGTGATGACTTTGAGGGCTACCGTAGTCCCTCGAAGCATGGCCGTAATCCCTCGAAGCATGGCCACTACTACAATGAGGTCGATGGTATCTTGTGCCCGATGCCGTTCCCGGACCGTCAAAGCGACGTCTGCTTGGATGGTCTCGCTCGACGCGAGCGCGCCTCGCCATCCCCGTGTCGCAGCAAGAACAAGACTCGTACTACTGTGAAGAAGCTCGGTCTGCTCGGAGATGATGGAGACAACATCAGTGAGCTGCAGCTCGATGATCAAGCGCTGGATCCTGACCTCTTCGGCAGTACTGGTAAGCGCTATCATGGAATGCGCTTCTCGCCGCCGAAGTCGCTCCGCCACTGCAGCACGTACAATGCGATCTCGAAACGCATTGATCCGCCTTCGGCGCGTAAACACGCTCCTGCCAGCAGCTCCGGCCACAATAAGTATGTCCCTAAGGACCCCGTCGAAATGCCGGATACCGCGGCTTTTGAACGCAGTAAGCCGCTGAACAAGAACAAGCGTCCGCAAGCTGCCTCCGTACCAACTTTTTCTTATAGTGGTTCACGTAACTGGTTAGAGCAGGTGGGTGCCTGTAATATTCTAGCACGTTGTGTAAAAGCAAATGACGTGGAAGAAGCTTTCCTTTTCTGAGCTAAAGAGTATCTTCGTCCTTTGTCCTGACAACCTCCACTGAGTAACACATGGTGGCATCAAGTGATATCACCACTACAAACTAGTCCTAGTGCACATTCTTCCTAGTGCATCACCCTATCCCAGCATCAACATCAAACACAAACTCAACATATTTGAAATATACCTTTCTTCAGCCGATGGACGAGATGGAGCTGGATGATTTTTTCGGAGACGTGGGAGTCAAAGGCAAGAAGTTCAACAAGAAGACCGATAAGAGCATTTTGATGGATCCGGAACTGCTGGAATCTTCGAGCGGAGACAGTGGCAAGAAGGTGGAAACTGAAGTCGAGGGAAACGATGAAAAGAAGGCAGAAACGAACACCAAGTCGACCAAAATGACGCTCTTTCTGGGCAAGCCTCTGGTCTATAAGAAGAACGTACTTCTTATTTATTTTGTCTTTTTTACTCTTCGATGATTTGAATTAAAAACTTTCTGTTCATTGCATGCATTTCAAAGCAAACCACGACTGCTAGACACTTCTACTCTGTTTACACTCATATCACTTTTGGCCATCTTGTCCTCTACCAGATTCCGGGCGTGAATGATGATGCAGAGTCGGAATATGGATACTTTCCCTCAGGAGGGGTCGATACCGATGAGGACCCATTGAACTGGGCGGATCTAGAAGATTTGAACTTCTCTAATGATCCACGTTTCTACGCGTGTGATCATATTACGACGAAATTCGAACGCTTGCGGCCCCTTTTGAAGGACTACGTACTTTCATGCCTTTTCTGTATTAATCAATGCTATTATACTAGTAGAAGTAGTTTACTAACGATCCAATCACGAAATTCCTTAGAGTTCTACTTTCGCTTTATGCTTTTCATTGTTACTTCTTACTTCTTACCTTCGTGCTCCTATCTGACTTCTGTTTTTATTCTCTTCTCCATCTTTTTTACATATCCTCTATAACAGGGAAAGCAGGTGCAAACCATGATGGAGACCCACGAAGATCTCATGGCGGTGTTTAACGAGATCAAGAACAATCAAATGGCGTTAAAGGCCGGCCTCACGCGTATGCGTAACCGGTACCAGGCCCAAAAAGAGACGACGCTGCACATCGTCAAAGAAACGCTGTAAGCAGTAAGGGAAAAAACAGCATGCGGGTGCAAAATGAAACAAGCTTATGGCTACAGTCATTTTTCTAGTCTTACTTCTTTAAATTTGGAATGTGAAAAGGGGCGAGGGCTCTCATCTAATCCAGCTGGTGACTCCTGTTGACTAAAGTCTTGCTCTCACTACTGCGAAGAATCTAGGTCCTTATAGAGCCTGCAAGTCGTCCTTCTCGGGCCTTGATTATCTCGCTGTCTATCGTGTCTCATTTCCCATTCTTGATAGTGTTCGTTTGTCCATGCGAGAGTAGCTTTCTAGCGCCAGGCCTCCACTATATTTCTCTAGAACTTTTTTTTGTGTGTCTAGTGAGTACTATCTTTTTAGTATCATAGGCTTGCCCTAGAATCTCGGTAATGTAGTCGTTTTTAATGGTTTGAGGCTGGAAGCCTTGAGTGAATATATTAGGAGTGGTGCTACTTGATGGCGCATCATGTCTATATGTGGACTGATGAAGCTTTTCGTTGCCTAGACCATTCTGATTCTGCGGGGAACTGATAGAAGAGGCTCTTGCTTGATTTATTTTCTCTTGGCCATAGCCTGTTTCTTCACCTAGAAAAATCCACTAGTTCCTTGACCTCGCACCTGGCATCTTTGATGACGCGTTTGTATCGTATGGTGTCAAGGGGTCGCAGCTGTTGCTCCTGCAGATACTTCATAGCACTACTATAAGTAGAGCTAGATCATGGCGCCGTCGTAGTTGTTTTGATTTACATCTTGATCACTCTAACAATTCTCGCCTGTCGATTGTGCGATAGCTCCGTCGGCGGATCGTGGCTTGGTGGTGGAGGGGATGCTGGCTCTCTGGTAGGTATGCTTGAGGGTCAGAGCGGGCGGGGAGTAAGTGCTCGTTTGCTGAAAATATAGTAGAAATTGTGAGTCTATTTGTTCTCAACATGGACGTTGGAAGGGAGAAGAACGCCCATGGTTTTAAGCTCTCGTGATTTATATTCGGCGTAGGTATGACTTGGGTACAGGTACCCAAGTCGATGACTTTTATAGAAAAAGCAGTTCTTGATGGACCTAGTCTTCTGTTGCAGGTTGACTAGTATGCGTTGAAGAATAACAAGCCATGCAGCATTTACTAGATGATAACTTAGACGGTCTGAATGTGATGAGATCGTTTCTATTACAGAGCAAGTGGGATTATGCTGAGACTTTTTGACATGGCGTAGAATGGTCAAGCATCTCGTGCTAGTACTTCTACTTTTTGATAGGTCGTGAAGAAGGAGCTTGATGCGAAAAGCAGTGATTGATGAAAATGGTGACTAAAGCAGAGGCATATGAAGACGCCGATAGGACTAGGAGTCATCCATGCACCACGTAAACTAACAGGAAAGCTGTAGCTATTTTTCAACGAAAGGACCACTCTGATGGTTTTAGAACGATAGCAAACTGAGCAGGAGGACGTCCGCCTGGTACTAGGAGTCATCTCATAGCTCATTCGTTACAATATTACGACTATCAAATCACAAACTATGTTGTAGCTGTAAACTTGACGTGAAGAGAGATTTTTATAAAGCAACTACCAAAAATTTATTTCATACATGCACTTCCTTCTGTCTTCTACACACGTTTTGAGTTCTTGCAGTCCGCTTTTGTTGTTCTTTGAATAATTAGATTCTTCTTTGATTATATCTGAGTATCTATCTGTTTCTGCTATGGTGTAGAGCAAGTAGATGATAGCTGGAGCCCTAGACTTGATGTTGAAAAAATGAGAAAAGACACAGAGATATTATCCGTAGGCTTTTCTTCATATGATTAATAATATCTCATGGCACTACGTAGCAGAGGGACAAATAGCCCCTCTATTTTTCCTTTTTGTTCTTCGGATTGATAGTTCTTTGTCGGTGCACAATTATCGCAATCGTTATAAATGCTCGTTCATATTTTCAGTTGTAGTTGTAGAAACATTACTAGCGTCTCTGTTGTCCAACAAGAAAAGCATCCGGCATGTTCTTGACAACGTTCAGAATTACATCACTCCGATTCGTAGTTTTCTACTATTTAGCTCTTCATCATTCATATATTGAGACTCGTAATAAAGCCAGCAATATGTTATACACAAGAATCTAGGCCGTATGAAAAACAAGATGGCGCTCTCAGATCTAAGGCAAAACTTTCGACTCAGATACACATCTATTGTGCTCGTTTCCGGTGTTGGCAGGTCCTCTTCACTTCCAATATTGGACTCTAAATCAGGCCGGGGCTTAGATCAGTCACTTCATCGAAGTCTAGTCGCATCACCCTACCTAGCTGCGATCTATAGCGTATAGGATCCCGTTTGCGTAGAAGATATTGCAAGTAGAGTCCTCTGTCCAGCACCTCGAAGCAAGTCGTAGAGCAGACGTTCTTGTAGATAGGCAGGTGGGTAGCTATTTTCGTCTGTGGATAAGAAGAGTAGCGGCCTGATGCTTATTTGATGGTTATTTTCAATGTTCTTGAGACTGAGTTGTAGTTCTTACCAAGGTGGAAAATGTAAGATGCTGAGCGTCTCGACGATCGACTGATCGCACTGGGACAACTACCGCATTGCCCCTTATCAGGGTCCTCACAGGGCCTGCCCCCGATTGATGACAGTGCCGGCACAGGTGTGCTAGTACATTGCCAAACAGACTACGACGCTTTCTCCTATTTTTTTGATGAATCTCAACTGTGACGTTTATTATAGGCTGACTTGCCACCCTTTATTTTCGACATGAAGCGTGAGCAACTCCATGCATTTATATGCGACAGCTCCAAGGCGGATCGGAAGACTGCAAGTTGTAGTCGCGCTTGTGCGTCTCCCTCATCAGCGTGTTGCCAACGTAATAACTCCACCATCAAGACAACGACAAGATCCTAGAAGATGCCAAACTCTTGGCGCGTGCAGGTGCATTCGTGATAGAAGCGCGTCTTTTTGCTTTCCGCCTGTCGATGTCAAGTGTCTGCGTCAAAACAGGTGATGCCGATCTAGTTGCACTACTTTGCTTTCTGTAACAGGACGAGTGATGTGAGATGGAGACGAGCGGGAAACTACGCGTAACTGAGGGCTGAGAGCTGGCGGCGAACAAATGTGATGTCATTATCCTGGAAATGGTTAGAGAATGCACTCGGTCTTCATTCAAAGCTTGCTCTTAAGTGAAAAGAGATTTCTTCTGTGTGTGGTTCGTCATTGAGTAGAGGATAGGGCGCAGTCATAGTAAAAAAGTGGAGACTCTGCTGCAGAGGCTGTCTGCTCTGTGTGCGAGGCGATTTTCAGTATGTAGTACTGACTTCATCTGTATAGATGTGCCCTGGTGAGTTCTTATTAGTATTGTTCTCGGTGAAGAGTGTCAGCTGCATTAACAGGAGAGAGCACCACTTCCCAGCGCTGTATCCCAGTGAGAAGATCGCGCACCTGTCCCCAATATAGAGCTACTCCTGAGAGTGGTAAAGAGCTGCCTCTTCTACCATGATGGGCGAGTGAGTTAGAAAGTTTTTTTTGTGATGCAGGCTCGTCTTTATTTGCTCAACACTGAAAAAATAAGTAGTTACTGTATTTCGCTTACCAATATGAGACATGACGCTGCAGCTTGGCACTAAGGCTTAGTCAGATATGCTGTGCTTGGTAATAGGACTACTCTGTGGGAGTAGCCTGTGAATGTGTTATGATTATTGTTGATCTACAGTGCGGGGGAAAGAAATTGTTTTATCTCATTCTAAAGTGTTATCGCGTGGCTATTAAAGTAGGACTAGCGACGCAAGTACGAACGTACTCGCGCTTGTTCTTCAAGAGCAAGAACATCTTCAACTACAACAAGGAGACTTCTTATAGCCTTGTCTCCATCACACAAAGTGAGCTACTCCTGAGAGTGAGACTCACTTTTTAGAAAAATGCCGACAGAGCTGAACGTCACTACAATCATGACAAGCGTGTTTCTTTTCAACGTCGGGCCTTCGAATTAGCGGCGTGAGCAACAGCGTGGAGCGATTGGATCGCGTTCTCTACCTTTAGGCGGAGAGCGCGTCTTTGGTCGCTCCAAAGCTCCTACATCTTCATCGTGCTTTCTGTTCCATCCCTTCTCTGACGTAGGCAACGATGTCGATGTCTGCAGCTCAATCTCAAAAAAGATCAGCAGCTACAGAGAGTCAGCCTTCGGACGCTGAAAAGCCGCTTCCAGAATGGAAGCGACTTCACTTTCAACTTTTGGGAGGTTCGAAAATCATGGGTGCCTGTCCGGCACCGAATGCACGACCTGACTTCGTAGATGCTGATAGAGTTCGTCGGCTGCAGGCTTTCCAAACTCATGAGTGCGATACCCCAGGGAAGGCTTTGAGGCTAGGAGCCAGTAGGAACACAGGCAGCGCTCCTACAGCATCATCTTCAACAATGTTTCCGAATGATATCTCAAAGAGCAAGCGAGGCAATGCCAGCGTGGCCTTCGCGAAAGATAGTAGTTGTTCATCTTCGTCGCGCGATGCTTCCTCGTTCAATCTAGGTGGGAAAACCAGCGATGTGGAGAGGACGGCGACTACCCCTGCCGCTCCTGAGACGACCGGCAACGCTGTATCAGCCGACGACTTTCCCGTGGCGTCGACTGACGATGCGCCAAATTGCAAAAGGAAGAAGAAGGATAAAGTGGTCGACATCTTTAGCTTTAGTTCGATTCTGCCGCCGTGTGGTACGAAGGGACGAGGCTCGAGAAACGGTGCTCTCAATGCACATGTAGGAACAGGACGCACGAAGGAGAAGGACTCGTCTCGTCTTCTTGATCATACGGTGGGAACGGGTGGAGGGAAACGCTATCCAGCAGAAACTCAAAATGCAATAACAATGGCAAAGCAAATCCTTGCCCTTAGTAGAATCAGTAGATCCAAGGCTCCGCCTGCAGACCACATTAACAACACCAGGAGCGGGCCGCATTTAACAAGTGCTAGCTGCAGATCACGGAGCGCACCAGCGCCGGCTCTGCCTTCTTGGGTAGATAGCATGATGACAGACATAGACCCGTCCACCGATGAAAAAGACTTCTCGCTTCAAGATGATGGATCGCCACGCCATGCTGCTGGCAATGAAAATGGAAGCAAAAAGAATACGAAGGGAGAAGAAGAAGCAGAAGGAGCAGCTTGGAGTGAGAAGGCGCGGCGAAGATTTGAAAACGGCGTCCAGCTCTTCTTCTCTAATACGTATCCAGAGACTAACGGGGATCGCCGGGACCTCAACGAAGCAACGATCTACGCAAACGCCGCGATGGACCTCGAGCAGCAAGAAGTGTGCTTGAAGAATGACAGAGTTGCACTGGACGTGAAGAGTGACGCGACTGACTGCGGTGTGAAGTTGAACTTCATGCGAATGTATGCTGTAAGCAAGCGACGCCAACAAGCAAGCCGATCGCGATCTGCGGGCCCAGTCCCACGCACCTGGAACAAGTTGCAGCAGGATATTACGCAGGCGGCGCGCGGCTTGCGCGGTACCGTGGTTACATATTGGACGTTACGTGGTCAACGTTTGTGATACTCTCCACGGTCAGATAGTATTAATAGCTCTGCTTGGTGTATGTACATGTAGACTCGCTAAACAAGAGCGACATCTTCACTGACGAGCAGCTCCTCCGCCTCCTTTTTCTGATTGTGCGATACTTGTATAGGATTATAGAAAGCGCGCTCTCCTCTATCAAACTAGAAATCAGCACGAACGATGCCGATGGGCTCCTCGGGATAGATGTTCGTAATTCTGTATCAACTTTCTTTCAGATGCGTGCCACATAATCGCAGGAGAGCAGGGACTTGCGGATCAAAAAGTCGCGCTATCCCTCTCCACCGTAAACGGACTATCCGGGGATGGCGGCACAGCTGAGCATGTACTCCAAGAAGAAGTTTGGGCGGAGCCGTTTGTAGGGCCGCAGCTTGAATGCCACCAGGGAAAGCAGACTGATAATCAGCTTCCAGCAGAAATAGCTGAACAAGAGGATGCGCCACGAGCTCGCTTCCTCCAAGACATCTTTTTTCCAGAGGTGACGCATGGAATGCAGCAAACTCTCCACGACAGGGAGGGCTCGGCAAGTGACTCACATCAACCTACTAGTAATCTCTTCTCAAATGAAGGTGAGCTTGGTGGTTACAGCAATCGCAATAAGCTCGAAGGAGACCAAGACCAACAGCACATCCGTTCCGCGGCGCGGCCTCTTGCTGTTGCAGGCAGACTTCCTCTCTTAGATAAGAAATCTAAAAAAGTGCTTTTAGATCGAAAAAATAAGTTTTTTGGTCTCATGAGTACTATATCTTGGGAACAAAATCAAAGGGAGGTGAATAACGAAACGCATACCTTTGAGCTGAAGAAGTCACTTCGTTCCTTACGGCGAACGCATGAGCTTAAGCGTTTAGGCCCAGCGGCTATCCTTGGGGCAGACGCTAGTGCAAATGCTGTCGCAGGAGCGCGTGACCTTCTCAAGAAAATCGCGATGCAAGAAAACCACAAGCAGGACTCACTAGAAGAGGCCGCCTTCGCGTGTGGTGTGGGTGAGGAGATCGACGCAGTGAAGCTCGCTTCCAGCCTGATCGGTGTCGTTCTAGGTCCTCTTGCATGGATGTCGTCAAAAGTTGTTTCTTCAAATAGCAGTCCGCAGAATCTTCATGTCAACCTTGGAATGGATCGCGGAGGACTACCTTCAGCTTTTTTCTTTTGCTGCTGGGCGAAAGAAATGAGCGGCTCATTTCATCGGGAAGGTATTCCAGTATATCTTCATGTGACCGTTACTTGGTGCCAGCAGCACGCACAGGCGACCGGTATGAAGGAGGCGTGCTTCTCCGCTTATCAACTTCTTAAGTGGGACACGTCTCAAATCGAGCAGAAGTTGCGAGAATGGGTGGCGTGCACTCGCAATCGCTTGTATTTTTCCTTCGCTAGGATGATCTTTGTAGGACGATGCTAGATGAAGATCCAACTACTTGTTCTGCTCGGAGAATGGTTCTCGTCTTAGTGTGAGTTTTCAGCTTCATCAAGACAGAGTGAAGACCTGTGGGTGTGAATGGTCCTCCTCGGCAAATGATGTTCAGCAATTATACTCAAGTATCACCTCAACATCGCGTCCACTCTCAGGGGCCACTTGATCGGGCACACGATGGAGGCTGTCGACGTTCAAGTTGCTCCGGAAGCTTTCAACCAATCTGATGCTGATTTTGAAAGGGGTTTCCACGCGTTTTACGATACTGCTTTCAAAGGGCGCAGCTTTGATGCTCATATTTTACGGGTTAACGCGGACGCTATACTCACAGAGGGCATCAGTGGAAATTTGGCAGAAGACATTTCGGCCGTTGCCGAGGATCGAGGATTAGCCGTTGAAATAGCAGACGCTGACAATGTCAAAGATGCTCCTCCGGGTCAGAAGCGCAAGATGATCATTGTCAAAGGTAGTAGATTCTCTACAACAGAAGGGGTCTATGTACTAGTTGGGGATGGTCCATGAAGATGTTAGTAATATCGTCGCACGGAGTGGGTTCAACGCCGTTTCATGCAGTGAGATACTGGTATGGTGTAGAAGAGGAAAAGCTGTAGCTTTTCCCTGGCTTGTATGTGGCGGGGTAGTATCATCGTGAAGATAAATTAGCTTTCTGTTATTTGCGACTCGAAGGCGCGTGTCCGTATGCTAACTTGGAAGTGCTATCATATTACTCCTTCTCAGGTGAAGCAACCGAGATTCTAAATGAGATTGCGATAGCGGAAAACCGGACATCATTAGAGAACGTACACGCAGCATGCAGATGGGGGGAAGTTAGCTTTACT